GCAAATTTGGACTGAACATTGCATTAAAGTGGTTGGATTTAGCCAATTAGGATAATTGGGATTAACATCTTGTTAACGGAATAATTGAGATCCCTTGATATTGAATGGCTTGCATAGCACATTGATAAATTTTAAATTTTGGATACATCTTGAAATTCACATATTATGCTATATGCTTAATTAAAATGTTCTATACTGACTGAATGAGGAGAGATCATTAGCATATTGATATTTATGAACTAAAATCACACATTTTTATTTGCATGTTTTCTAATAGGAGAATTTGTTTTCAGATTCATGCGTAAGTCTATGCATTCAACTGCATTTCGCTTTTTTTCAATCATTTCAATTTTCAATCATTAATTCAATCATTTTATAAATTCAGTTCTCAGTTCAATCTTACAATTCAGAACTATTCATACAAGAATTTATCACTTACAATAGCTTATCATTTCAATATGTGAAACTTTGTGCAATAATCAATCGCTTTCGATGAAATCAAACTTTTGTTGAAATGCACACATATTTTCAAATTCACTCCATTGATGAACTTTTTTTAGGAAAATCAGATGTAAAATTTTATTTTTCATAAATGAGTTTTCTTTCAGTCGACTTATCTAATGGATCCACAGAGATAATAAAATGATTTAAATTAATTGTTCATAGTCCATTGATTACTTGTTTTTAATTATTAAAAACATTACTATAAAACTTTATATTTAAAGAATTGTTTAAAAAATCCGAAGAAATAATTAGGAAATTTTAATAATTCCTGGGCGATTTCTGAGGCTTTCTTTGTGGATGAGGAATGGTGACTTATAAGAAAATATCGAATCGGGGAGTTCGTTGATAAAAATTGATAAAAATTCATCCTAGCAAATATCCAGGAAAAAATTCATCATTTAGGGTAACGTGCATCAATAAATTTTCGTATGATCAAAGAAATTTGGGCGTTATGGTTTGTTTCGCATTTGCATTAAGGCGTGGTTATTCTATTAGTATAAATTTTTTAATTTTATAACAATATTACTATTATATTGGTAGCGTTCTTCTTATCTTAAAATTTTATTAATTTTTACAGAAAATAAGTGAGAATATAACTGAAAAAAAACTGGTCAGGAGGTGCGTTGCTTCGACTAAAATCGTTACAATTCTTTTGCTGAATTGGGGTAAACTTTCCGTAAAGTTCAAAGCAACGCACCTCCTGACCAGTTTGGTAACTTATTGCAAAGAAATGACTTCTTAGTGAGTAAGTTGCCAGTTCAGCTGCACCAGAAAGTGAATCTCTGGTAAAGTAGCTTATCGTAATAGTGCAGCAAGATTAGACGGTCAGCCAAAATTTTTTCCGTTCGGAAGCAACTCACTAAGAAGTCATTTCTTTGCGACAAGTTACCAAACTGTGTGCTGCTACTTGTTATCACTAGGTTTTAATGGTCAGGTAAATGTAGTCGAGGATATATATATAGCGACATCCGAATATCTACTCTAATTTTTCACGATATAGTTCTCTTCATTACGAATGAATTTATGGATCCGAGATTTCATGGTTTTTTCGTTAGAAATGTTTATCTGCTCATTGCTATAGAGATTTTTGCACGGTGAGCTTTCATATCATTTTATTCTAAGGCTTTTATGGCATAACAACAAACGCGCAACAACAAGACAGCATCTGCCAAGTAGTGGGAGTCTAGATACCATACAATGATGCTACTATAACTAATTTATCAGCAGCCTTTTTTTGCGCGGAAAATGGTAAATGATCTTTTTAGAGTTTGTAAAGTAAGGAAATATCTTGTTAAATTTATTTTATTGCTTTATTATTTATTTAAATTTTAAATTTGTTTTCTACTTTCTAATGTTGGCATTACATGAATATTAAATTGTGTGAAACAAACAGTTGTTGTGATCCTCTCAGAGCTAATTGTAAGAATTGAATAATAAGATCTCGAATTTCTATTCAGTCCTCACTTCTATACCGAAGCTTTGGTAAATAGCCAAGAGAACTATCAAATAAAATCCAATCTGAGAAAAGAAAAGCGAAAATGTTCAAATGCAGAGAGAGGTTGGTCTTAGAAATATTATTTCTATTATGGCGATGTTAAATCTCGATAGTGTGTGTTGTATTAAAACTTGTGGCAATCTTGTTGAAAGCCTCAAAGTTTTTCAAATTTACCATTTAAAAAATGCAAAAATGCTGGATTTTAAATAACAAAAAATGCTGGATTTTTACCGTTGAATATTTAAAAAATCAACTTTTCATATTTAATATTTATCTATCGTTTCAATTATTTGATTATGAGTTTTACTGACTTCTTAAAGTGTCATTTTTACTTAAGGTTTATTTAAAATTCGAAATAAATTATTGCTAAATCTAAGGAATATCAGCAGAATATCAGCGGTTGCAGAGTGTTAATCGATTGAAATTGCTTAAACTGCTTAATCTATGAAGTTCCGTAATTCTTTCATTAGGAACATTTACTGGAACAGATTTATTGGCAATTTAATGCCGTCGTTTTTTCTGTCTCCAATTTGCAGAAGAAAATCAACAACGCTAAAGTTATTTTAAAGTGGCTACTCAGCCATTGAAAAATGGTACCATTGTATTTTATGTTTTATTATGATTGTTTTCGCAATATTATCAATTAAATATTGCAAACATCAACATATTACGCTATGCCTTGTTTAATTTATGATAAAATTAACAATAAGTTTGCATAAGAAAAAAAAATACTTGTTTCTTGAAGAAAGAAATTTCTATTGCGTGAAATGGCTTTTTTTTAAAATATCCTTATCAAGAAGGCTTTAGTAGCTTGAGATATCGTATGAGATAAGAGGGATTAAAATCTTTGGCAATCTTTGATGCGTGAAGAAAAATACTCTTTTCTTTCCAGTTTATTTTCTAAAAAATGTTTCCACTGTCGCCAAAAAATAAGTTTGCTAATCAGTCATAATGAAATATGGATATTCGAATTTTACGACACAATTTTTTTATTTTAAAGATATTTATATTATTATTTTAAAGAGAGAGAGTTTATAATTACTATCATTTATTTATTATTATAATTCTTATTACGATTATAACTTGCGAATTTGGAAGTGGCAAAGGCGGTATGATTATGAATTCGATCCATACTCCTTGAGAGGAGCAAATGAATTCCATTATATTCCAATTGATTTCTGACAAAAGGATCTCACCTTAATCAAATCAGAAATGGTAAACGCTGTTAGCAGTATAAGGGAATTGAAGGGAGTGCGTAAATTATTTTGATAATCTCTAAAAACCTTATAAATTGTGATAAATATTTTATTCAGAGATGATGATGACTGCTAAATTAAAAATTGGTTAAACCAAATTATTTTCAACCTTTGCAAATAAGCATAATGAATTTTAACAAAGAGCTATTCTATGAGTTGAATTTTACCATAGATTTTCTTATGTCTATAATTCATTATCTTGATCATAGGTTTGGTTCTCTCCCATGATAGGACTAAGTGTTATAAAAAATCCAAGTAGCGATCTATGTGTATTTCTGTCCAAGTCCCTGTGGCAAAAATTTCTAATCATACTAAGAATTCGTGAAGCTCGCCTAACCAGAAATAATGAGCGCTAAGCATTATTAAATATCGGTGATCAGCGATAAATAATTAATGTTTAAGTCAAAGAATCCTCAATATTAAAAGCAATAAATGCTCGTATGAGCGATGGCTGCTCATCTTTCAGTTAAATTAGAGAATATTGAAAATGGTCGCTATTTCCAACTAAAAATAAAAATATACTTTTTGTAATCTGAAATGAAAGGTTTCGTTTACATGAAAAATTATTTTTTACGAAAATTAGTCAGCTTTTATCAAAGATTTAATAATGTATACCTATAAATGCATTTAAATGAATGTCTCTGGTTTCTCTCTGCGTGTAATATGCCTTAGGCTTGGTGAGTGAGTTTTTCTTTTACCTCTTGAACTTATCACACTTAGTTTTAAGTAAGTAACAAGTCAGAACCATTCCACTGGCTACATAGGATAAATTAATTTTGCTAGAGGGTCGCCTGGAAAACTAAGCATTAGCCCTCAACACTGGCTTAATCCCCCTGGATATGGTGTCTGAAATGCTGGTTTATATACAGTCACATTTATATATTCAGTCATATTTAGCGGAAAATTCAATTTTTAAATAAAATTTCATGTAAAGTTTGTTTGAACTATTAAGCAATTCAGTAACTATTCTTTGAGAAACAAACTTAATAATTTATTCATATTCATATTTTATAAAGCATAGATTTATGGCATTTTTGCTTAATCCCAATAATTTAAGCCAATTATGAAAGCTGTAGAGCGGGCACATCAATTATCAACAACTTTAGTTTCCTGATGGATAAAACTTTTAAAAAACTTGGGAAAATTCCTTTCTAGGAATAAACTGATATAGGAAATAAAGGATAATCAAATGATCGAGATTTAAATAATTAGTTTATGCTGGCTAAGCGTTTTGGTTCTCTTCTGAAAAAACTGTAAAAATGAGCAGGAATAAATCATCACATAGATCCAACTGCAGTTACCTATAATGAAATTAAATTTAACGCTTGAATATAATACAGTCTATTACCTTATAATACCTATTTTTCCTAGCATGTTTAATTTCTAGTTTATAATCATAAAATGCTCCTCCGATCTTAGGAATCCATCTGAACCTCAAATGATTCATGCTAATAGCCAATCCAGAAAGCCAATCCAGAAATGCTGAAAAGTTCTCATTCATAATTATTTGCTTGAAGATGAATTTTAAAGCAAAAGATATGAAGAATTTTATTTTTGCAAATCGATTAATTTTTTTGATTTTCCGTTTTTAATTGCAGCTTTAGTGTTTATTTTCATTTTCCCTAAATTTATTAAAAATTTGTGAAAAATTTTAAAATTTTCGAAAATTTACTTATTAATTTTTTAATTTTCTATCTTTTTATAGTGTCCTTATTAACCGAATACAAAAAATGGTCAAATAGACAATGCTTTCCATATTTCTTCTATTTCCAAACCTCTGCCTATCGGTGTGTCCAGATACTAATAAATGTATAGCAAGAATTAGGCAGCTAACGGCAGATTCACGACGATTTTGGTTCGGTGACCGATGGAAAGATAGATGTATGAGAAGAGATCGTGATCCTATTGAATGCTATAATCCATACCAACTGCAGTCTTTTCATAATATTGGCAGTCGATTATTTCGAGTGAGAACATATCACAGTGAATTTCTTCAAAATTTACACATCTTTCCTCGTGTCACATATAGAATTAGACCAGGTAAGCATTCTGTATTCTCATTTATTTAATGCATCCATGGCTATTTTTTGGTATAGCAACTATAGCAAAGTTTGCCAGCTGATGCAAAATTTTTTGAAAACCTTGTTTTTTATGATTCGCTGCAAATTGGAATAAAACAGACAAGTAAATGGTGATAGTTTAAAATATCAAATCATTCTATCGCTATTTCAATTTTTCGACCCATTAATTTTTCGCACAATTGTTTTACTTCCTTTCCTCAACAGCGAAAATTTTTTAAAATTTATTTATTAATTTATCGAAGAAAATTGGGTTGGATAGTGGAATGCTATATTGGTTCGAGCCCTTGTTCCTGTCCTTTGATTAGAGTATCATTAAAAGCAGAATAGCCACATTTACTACATTTTCTAACTGACTTTCAGTAGAATATTTAATAATCAATGAAGTCAATTAAACCAGAAGTATTGAGTGCCATGGAAAGTAGAATTATGGAAGAATTTGATACAATGTGTATTTTTATTGACAGGATCCTACCGAGCATGCGATCACAATTTTTTTATCGATGAAGATTTAAATAAACAAGTGCTTGAAGTTGATCCGGATATGGACCCAGTTGAGCCATTCACTACAAGGTATTTACCCGACATACGGTGGCCTAATATGGATCCAAATATTTCATATGTAATCGTAATAATTGACGTTGGATTTAGTACACTCAACTACCTCGCATTCGACTTTCCAAAAAATACAAAGGTAGGAAATGGGACAAGTGTTATAATTGGCAATTATTACAAATTACGAATTAATTACTGATTACAAATTAAATAGAATGTGCATCACCACAAAAAATATTGGATATTTTGATCTAATTGCTCGAACAGAAATGTTAGTGGGCGAAATGTTTTGGGCGAAATAATAATAAGGTCGAATCATCATAGGTTTTACTTGAACTTCGGCAGAAACAAGCCTGTGATACTTATTTTTGAATTTTTATGATAGCTTGTAATTAATTGAAACGTTGCGAAAGCTAGCAAAACAAAACTTGGTTTTTCTTAGATTCATCGTGTAATATTTGCTTCTTTTTTTAGATCCTTAGACATTACGAAGTGTCTGAAAACTTTCGCTTTAGCACCAATCCAATTGCAATACTCATTTTTGTGCAAAATCCTGAAATGAATTTCCTTTCTAACAATATATTTGTGTCAAATTTATCGGAACTGTTCGATTTACCAAAATTTATGCTAAATAACAGACTTGAGACAAGTAACTTTGCTTTTTAAAAATAACAATTTCCTGAAATATGCTTTTGAATTACTAAATTTTAAATGTATAGATTTGGTAGGAATGAATGTTTTACTGGTGACAACAGATGCATTTGCTATTGAAAAACAACGTATTCGTGGTATTGTCGACAACTGCCATGCACTCATCGAAAGAAGTATTGTTCTCGATTTTTTTTATTTTCTTTCTTAGTAAGTAAGAATTTAAAATGGAATTATCTAATAATAGGCTAGCGGTCACCATTCCTGGTTTGCCTTTGCTGGCTGTTATATTATAAGAAATATCTGATATTAAGAAATATCTGACATGGATAGGTTGATGGAAGTTCGTCCTCACTGTTACTCTTACTTTTAATTCGACTTTACTTCTACTGGAGGAATCTGAAGTTCAAGTAATGATCTGAACAATTTCCACTTTGCTATTCTGTCTCTTTTAATCACCATTATTATCGAAAACACTAGTGCTAATTTAGCATAATAATTTGGCAGCGAAATTTTTTTTGTGCATATTTTAAGATACGCCTTGGTACTTGGAAGAATGTCCAAGCTCCCAGCAATAAAGCATAAACAACAGTGATGATTAAGAGTTACTATTACTACTAAAATCCTTTTAATGCAACCCACAAGAAACAGAGCACTCATAGGCAAATCCCATAACTCATTTTTGAAGACTGTTGCTAGTTGAAAATCGTCGGCTGTATTTTGTTTTTTCGTTTCGTTGTTTCTAACACAGCATATGGCACAGCTAATGAACTATGCTTTAAATAATAACATCCAAAGTTGCATTTTCCAAATTTTGAAAATTTATAAATTTTTTAATTTGCTTTCGTTCAAAAAGAATTGCGATTTGATGATCGATGGAACTTTGTTAAAACATTTCCACTAAAAGAAATGGATTCATGGTTGTCAGTTGATTATTTTCAACCATATTCTTCAATAGAATTCTGTTGTGAAAAGTTTCAATTAAAGTAAGATTTTCGATGTTATAAATGAATGTAATTTTCAATGATTGTAGCATTCTGTGCATTAGTGTTTATTCAAAGTATCAATAAGATTAAATACAGTTGACATTGTATTAAGGCATCTAAGAGTTGGCTTAGCCTTTCCATTGTTATTGTCTATATGAATAACGAGTTCGAAAATTTGATGGTTTTAAAAATAAGGCCCGACAAATATGTTAAACTTAATGCATAATTACTTAAAATCATCATTTATTGAAAAAAATCTTGATTCTATTCACCAAATAATTCATGGTAATTGGTTGCTGCATTAAGAAAAATTTTAGAGAGGCTACTATTCCATTAGATCCTCTGGGCGATGGCACATTAGCGTCAGCAGCTGTGCACAGTGAGCCACGAGTATCAGCTATGAAGATCATGCAAAACAGTCCGAATTACCAGAGAAATGCTCGTGATTTTCTAGGATTTGGTAAGTTATCTTTCTAAACTCATGATTGTCAGAACAATTTAGAAATGAGCACATTTTTTAATAAAAATAGGCTGAATGATATTGCTTGGAATGTTAATCTGAGCAATACACCACTCGATTCATTCCTCGCTTGTAGTAAACGATTTTATTTGAAATATGATAAAATTGTGTGGTGCTTAAAATTGTTGTGCGGACATTCAACAACCACCTGTACTTGTGTTTGTGCCTCAGGCCTCATCTTGTTATCGATAATATCAGCTAAACTAAAAGTGATTAGCGCTGTTAAAAAAAAATGGATGAGAAATGTATACTTTTTTCTTTTATATTTTATATATTTATATGAGAAATTTTGGATATCTATCATATTTAGAACTTTGCAATCTTCGTTATATTGCCCTTTAAATCAAAAGCACTGAAGCATATTAATTTTGTAATTTTGTGACATGTCAGCTGTATTGAACGATTAATTGCTTCCGGCTGGCCATGAAAAGATTTCTTTTTCCAATATCTAATGCCCTTTAGACATAGAATTATTCTTAGATACTTAAATTGCAAATAAAAGCAATGGGAGTAATTGTTGATTTAAAGAATTGAAAATCAAAACTATTCTAGAAATTAACAATTTTTTTAATAGTTTCTTATAATCTAAGCTACTATTTCCCAAACAGCAATAATATAAAGCTTTTTACTATATGCGAATTAATTTCATTGTTTCATAGTACCGGTTGACCGGCGATTTACTGTGGTGCTATTTGAGCCTGAAAGTGAGCATTTATATTGGATGGTCACCGATATTCCGTCAACATCGCTAGCTGCATCCAATATTCATGATGGTACAACGGTAAATTATACAATAGACTTTGCTACAAGTTCTTGACCAATTGCCATGACCATACCAACAATTGCTTTCGTTGCGATAATTTATAATTTGCATAAACCCTTCAGTGGAACTCCTCAAAACTAGAGCATGCGATATATCGTTTGTTATCTGCTATCAAATGTTCAATAATTGAATTTAAATAATTAAATTGATTTGGCTCAATGATTAAAATTTAATTTTATGGCATTTTTTGTTCGCGCAATTTCTGGTTTATTTTTAGCTTTTGACTTTTTGTTCCTTCGTCGATTTTATAATATATAACTTTGCCCTCGATAGAACCAAATTCAAAAATTCGGCTGCTGTTCGAAGCCATAGTTCTGACCCATTTGTATTTTCAAGTGACTCTGGAATATAGACCAATGCTTTTTTGTTGCAATTCGATGTTTTTTGGTTACAGGTGGCTCGTTATATCAGCCCAGTTCCGACAATCCCAAGAAATTGCTCGTATTTAGTTTTTATGTTGTTTTTACAATCACACTCTAGTTATTCTACAACTATAACGATGACATACCATACTGGTCATGTTCTTCGGTCTTCTCTTTGTTACAAAAACTGCCCACAGAGGTAATATTTGGCTGATATTATTACCTTACTTACTTGCTATATGAATTTTTCATTTTCTGGCTGTTTGCTAAAAATTACTACACCCAGAGTATTTATGTACACATACAGATCCATAGATTCATATGCTTATATGTCTTCCTTGAATAAATCTCAGCAAATAAAATTACGCTTTAAAGGGTTAATATGGAAGGTCACCCGACAGTATTTAATTTTTGTTCGTAAGTTTAAAGAAACATAATCTTCTTAATCATCTTCGTAAGTATCTGTACTAAAAGGCATTAATTTTTATTCAAAAACCATCGCTTGTACAGTAGACGAGCTTAAGCGAGGAAATTATTCACTGTTTACTCGGGCTTATTTGCCAAGCATACAAATAATTAACCATTTACTGAGAAGTGAACCTGTTAATAAAAAGTCTGGCTAGTGGTCCTAGCAGTCAAATAACTCTCTGGCAAAAATTTCCAATTTAGCAGCCAGTTGAGCTAACTTAACCAGAAAGCAGTTATTAGTTAGTTAAAGCGATATTACCATAAATTATATATACTACTGGCACTCTTAAACTTTTAAATATAAGTATAAATATAAGTTATAATTTTCTAATATATGTAAAAATCCTTCATATAAATGATTTTAGAACGGAATTTGATATTGAAAAATTCAAATCATTGCACCAACTTCAAATTTCGGCGATAAATTGGATGAAAGTTTGTTATGATGTGTATGAAGGTTCGAGGCAGATCGCAGCATTACTAACCAGTAAAAGTGAGGGAGAGAGACTGGAAATAAATTCTTATCCTAAAGATCAGATTACCTCTTCTAAAAGCCTTTCCGACAAAGAAATATCATCATACACAAATGTTTATAGGAGGTATTAATTCCTAAGTTTTTCATATTTTAAATTTTTTATCTTTTTAAAATAAAGTAAGATCGCTGTCGCTTTGCGAAAACGAATTAAAAATAGCGCGGATTAAGGTCTCTGATTTGTAGTGTGGTACCAGTCTAATGATTAGTAAATCCATTAAATCAGAACTGTGTTTTTAGAAGAATTCTAAACTAAAATACGGTAAACTGAAAATTATTTCGGCATTTCGGGACTGTTCAGTTTGAATGTTTGTTTTTAAGCCACAAAAAATCTAGTATTAATGTACCTCTTTTGAAATAAGAAGGCAATCATAAGCCTAAGACTTTAATTAGGAAGTTTTTCATTCAGATATTCCGCATTCTACAATGGAAAACAATTAAATTTCGAAGAACAAGTGTGTGCCAAAATGGGAATGCCAATTCGACTAATTTGTCCAAAATCAGGTGCATTCAGATCTTCAACTCTTTGTTCAGCCATTTTGTTATTATTTCAGTTCAAGACAATCAGCCTGTTTGTATGATCGACATGTAGGTTTGAGGAATTTTTTACTGCTACTTTTTGCATCAAACTCGTTTATCTGAAAAAAGGCTAAAACTATTATTTTTAAGTATATTTGTTAAAGTAATGAATAAATTATTGTTGTTGTTGTAAATTGCTGTAAAAGTACAATTATTATGAAAATTAAGATAAGAAAATCGACAAACCAAAATTTCATTGAAAATAACAATTGATATTTTATTGTCGTTTTCCTTTGATCATATTTCATTTTTCTTAGAAATAAATGGAAATAAACAAGTAGAAACAGAAATGCAAGGAAACAAAACTTTGCGGCCAAGATGGTTGTAAAATCAAGAAATTTTATTCACTCAATATTTAAACCAATAATATAAAATAATTTACCAATATCGTAATTTGGCAGTAATAAAACAAGTTAAAAATAAAACTGAGTGTAGTTCTGCGCATTGGTTGCTCATACGAGAGATATTTGAGCAATAAACGCTTGATTATTTTTGCCTCATGGAGTAAAATCAGCAAAATTAAGGAGTCGTCACTTGGACGGCGACGAGCGAAAAAATATCCAATTTTTTTGGAATTTTTCCAGCTGAAAATAGTCATATAAATAAAAACCTGTGTATTTTTTGATTGCACAGGAGATCTGCCTTTCCATTATAATTCTGCCAATTTAAAGAAAAAATTAAGGAAAATTCAGGAAAACGGAAGATGCTTATGAATGCTGAATATTTAATAGGCAAATAAGGCAAATAAACAATTAACCACAGTTCTTAAATGGATCCTCGACTCTTATCAAAATCAACCTTATGTCGCATTACTAGCAATTACCACAAAAATTATTCAATTCGGATTGGAAAACAAGCACATCTCGAGGGCAGCAATAAAAGACGTTGGTGGGAATTCTTCTGGGAAGGACACGTAGTAAATCCGTAGTGAGCCCGTAGTAAATCCAATAGTCTTAAGTCTCCTTTCACATAGCAAAGACGAAGATGCATATGGTAATAAATTGGCATTGGATGGTCTAATGATTGCGACTGCTAATATTATCAAAATTTTTCTTTATTATAGTGCTATCTTTACTTGCAACCTAATTAACGTTAACGCTTCCATAAACCACAGTTAAATCCCTCTGTACTTTCTTGTCATGCATTAATAGAGAGCTTAATTCTAAAAACTTGCCTTCGCTATAATCCTTTCGGATCCGATTGCAGCCGCTTAACAGCTGCGATCCTTACTCATCTATGATCTGCATAAAATCCCCTCGAATATATTTTTCTGCAACTGCAGTTACTAATTATATAAATTAGCGAAGGGTGACGTGATGATAACTGGAGGAGTTGAAAATTACAAGCAAAGGAATATAAATAAACAAAGAACAACGGCGGAATAATGCTAGGATCGCGGAATTAGTGGAGTTGGCTGTGAACTTCCTACGCTATAGGGAGATTTTTGGCTTATGCAGTATGACCACTAGCCAGGGGTGGCTGATTCCTCCTTTTTTATTTATTTTTTTAATTTTATTTACTTAATGATTGTTTTGTTGCGCTTGCCGTCCATGGTTCTGTGAAGGCTTATGGCAGCCAATAACCATCCCACCAAAATATCGTACCGCTTGCTAAAAGCCCATCTTTTCATCAGTCTAAGTTGTCGTTTTGATTTAGTCCGTTGATCTTATTTTACGGATTTATTTTATACTTAATTATTTATTTTATATTATTTATTTTTAAATTTATTTCACGAATTCGTTCGTCCAGTTTTTATCCGATCCAATCTCAAAATATTTAAGAGCTAAATTCTAAGAGTGTTCACTCTGAAGTCCGAACTTCTAAACGTGTTAAGCAAAGAATTGAACTGCTCGTCCATTGCTATCCAGAAAAATATAGCGCTGCATAAGAAATTGTGTAGTGATTTCCCGCCGAATTTAAATTCAAACTTTCGGTTTCAGCGGTAAAAATACTAATTTTTCGGAAATTGTGGGATAATTGTCCGCAAAATTTTACCGCAAAATCTTTCATGATGGCGACTTTTTCGAGAGTTTTTGTGGTGTAATCGAGTCAGTCGAGCCATTCCGTCATGCTCATTTATGAATTTGTTGATATTTATTAATTGGATATAGCGCTTAGGCTTTCTTTTCGTACCTTAATTCTTTGGTTTTGCCATTGGAAAAGTTCTCTGTGCGAAGACGAAATTTATTTTGCACCGACGTTTCGCGAAAAAAATTTATTCGAATTTTAAGGATGGAAAGCTCGTTAAATGTGACGAAATATGACGATAGGCAAGCTCGTCAAGTCGAAGATGATTTCGTTGAATTTCTGACTGAGTAAGTTATAAGTATTTGTGCTCGAACTGCTGATAAATTCCATCTCTAAGCGTTGCAACTCAACGCCAAATCCAGAATTAAGCTCCTTTTCCAGGTGAATCTTAACATTTTCAGTTACGTCGAGGGTGGTGCAGCAGAACCTCGCTATTTGCCTGAAATCAAAGAGTTTTCGAAATCTGAAAGGAATACTTTACTTGTTAATTTTGCCGATGTCTACGATTTTAATAAAACACTCTCAGATAACATTCAAACGAATTTTTTTCGGTTAATTTTTATCGTTCTCTTTTAATACTTTTCTTGCCACGATTCTCTTTGAGAGTTAGGTAAAAGTTGCGGATGGAAGGTGTAAATTCCTTTTGAGAATGTGGCGCAGACTGCGGATTCCTTTGAAGAAAACTATGAGAAACGTAAAAATAAATTATACTCTTAGGGGAAATCACCTACGTATATTCGTAAGAAACATATAAGAAACATATGAAGTTTTTTCTTCGGAATCCTTCAATCACTTCCTTGAAGCTTTTTTCCTGTGTTTATAAAAATAGCTATTATAGCTATGAAAATTAATCAACGTCAATATTAAAGGCGCTATTTCAGGATAATAGTTAAGTGGAAGTAAATCTCTGTTAAGTCCTTTTAATTTTAGTTTTTTTAATTTTCTATCGAAGCCAGAACAGCGATTATATATGGTGCAGTAGTGTTGATTAGCTATTTAATTTGACTGTTAATTATTGGGATTTAGTTAAAACGCAAGCAATTAATTTTTATATAATTTTTATAATGAAATAAATTTTTTTGGTATCAATAAAATATATAATATATATTTATATATATTCTTAATATATTCTTAAATATATATATTCTTAAATGAAATCTAATATGGTGATGCAATATTCTGCCCAGCTTGCGACACTTTTAAGGATTTTTTCGTACCGATAGATTTTTCTAGTTTTTATCCCAATATATGTCGTGCCTTACATACCGTCGCAATGATGCAATGTCGCGATGATGAAGTTAAAAAAATGAAAGTTCGTAGGAAGGAACTTTATGTCAGCTTCCATAATACAGCGAATAAAATGAGGTAGGTTCTAACTGTTTTATTTTTTATTTTTAATAGTTCTTTTAATTTTTAATTTTAAAATGCCTTTTCCCTCAAATTCTTTTTTAAAATGGTTCTTCAATAAAATGTAACGGTATGTGCACTGCGTAATTCGATTCGGACATAAGTAAAAAAATCGATTCATATTTTGGTAAATGGTCTGAAAAAGTTAACATTAATGGTACTTAAACAGATTATTATCTACAGGTTACGTGGGTTATCATCAAACGTGATTGGTTCGCTAATTTGTATCTCCGGTCAGGTTGTGAGAACTCATCAAGTGCATCCCGAATTAAGCAAAGGAGGATTTTCTTGCAGTTCTTGCGGAGTTATCACTAGAAATATTGAACAGCAGTTTCGCTACACTCAGGTGTGACAGATTCTTTTTCTTTTTTTTCTCTAAGTACTTCTTTCATCTTAGGAATTCTATTAGTCTTATTAGAACATATTCAAGTCTTATTATGCTCAAAACTCATATTTCTTTCATGTCCCTTCGAACCCTGTATTTTAATACTTTCCATATCCTCTCATTTGCTTTTCGAAAATTGAGCGTCAAGATATTAAAATGAATAATCTTAAGAGAAGTGAATAATCTTAAGACTGGAAAAGTCGGTTGAAATGCTAAGAAAGATTCTAAGATGACGTTACTAGTGGATTTTCGCAAGTGGTTAGAGATGGTAGAGAGTTTTTAGGACTGGGAAGATTTCTTACAAAATATGAAAATTTTTAGGAGATGATTAAGGATTCTGGGCTGAGATTTCGGGAATTCGGCAGCATGTTAGAAAATCGTAGAATATGAAGATAGCATGATATGAGAAAATACTGGGAAATTATTAATGTAGAATTTAACGGACACAATGCGATTTTATAAGCTTCAAAGAAGTTTTTGAAACTATTATGATTTTGTTTGAGTTTGTTATAAAATATGGCAAATTTTGGAAAAGTTTTTTTTAAAATTTATCGGTTTAAGCCGGCGAGGTGTTCAAATCCACAGTGCCAGAATCGATCGAAATTTCAGCTAGATGTTCAGGAATCGACTTTTATCGATTTTCAGGTTTTTTTTTTTATCATTAATCTCATCAAAAATTGTTTGTCAATTTCCAGATTCATTCTTATCAGTGTTTAAACAAGATAATAGTAATGTCTGTAGATTTTAGAAACTGGTATTTTCCTGCACAATACCATCCTTTCATTTTCCTAAGTTATTGAATCTCGATGTGTTTCATTTTATAGAAGCTTAAGTAGAGAATATTAATAATATTTTATTTTCAGAAAATTCGAATCCAAGAAATACAGTCTGAACTTCCTAGAGGAAGTATACCACTTAGTATGGATGTTATAATTCGAGGTGAATTGGTTGAAACGGTACAGCCAGGTGATCGTTGCGACTTTGTTGGAGCATTAATTGTAATTCCTGAAGTGGCTCAATTAAGTGCCCCCGGTAAATTTTAAGTTCACGTATCTCAGAATGCAAAAATGCTTTTTTACGTTTTCGTTTTTTCGTTCTTGATAATGGTATTGTACAAAGATAGAAACCATAGTATTTAGGGATGCGCGCTGAAATGAACAACAAAAATCGTGGTCGGATGGCAGCAGATCAAGAAGGCATTACAGGATTGAAAACTCTTGGCGTTAGAGATCTAAATTATCGCATAGCATTTCTTGCTTGTAATTTATGTGCCTCTGGTAGTCCTGTGAGTTTTCTTGTTATTTTTTAAAATAGAATACTAAAAATTCTACTAAAAATTCTTTTAAAATTCTGTGTTCTAAAAATTTTTGACCATCGCGAAACGGTGAAAGCAGAAGGCTACTATAGAGTCGTGAAAATCGAAAAAGGATTCGAATCAATAGTATGTCTCATCAACAATTATTGTTATACGGATCATTGAAGAAGTGGTTGATAAAGTTTTCATCAGTTCAGAGAGATATCAAAATATAGTGTCATGCCGAGTACGAATCAGCGATGATTCAAAAATATTATATAAAAAACGACGGCATCCATAGTTTATGGATTCTGAAAAGAAGCTTCTGATGTTGTTAACGGGGTCGATTCTAAAATAGTCGTTTTTAATTTTGCAGTTTTGCAGAATATTTAGCTGAAATTATTCTTTGGATTGATTCTAGAAAATATCTGATTTTCCATAATCTTTTTCCGATTTAGTATGGGAAAAAATTAGGAGAATTGGAAGAGAATGATCCGCAAGTTTTGTGGAATGCACTAAGCTCAGAAGAAAGAAAGGAGATGCAGAGAATGAGTCATGACAGAGATATTGTGACAAATCTGACAAATAGTCTTTTCCCGGAGATTTATGGCAATCAAGAAGTTTGTTGTTTTTTAATTACTAATTTTTACTAATTTATTAATTTTTTTAAAATTATTCTTTATTTTTTATTCGTTATTTCTTGGCTTTAATGCTGCGAAAATAAGTTATTTCTTTGTTTTTAAGGTGAAATTGGGAGTACTTTTGATGTTGTTTGGTGGTGTATCGAAGGTTTGTCCGAATGAGGGCACAAAATTGCGTGGTGATATAAATATATGTCTTGTTGGTGATCCAAGTACTGCCAAAAGTCAAATACTCAAGTAAAGCTTATTCAGTGAATTGAAATTAAAAATTGACTTATTAATAAGCAATTTACGAAAGTATGGTTATCGCAGTTTTGTTGAATAATCGGCTAGTAAAATTAATTAATGTTAATTCTATGGTAAAAATTTAAGAAAATTTCGAATTTAGATATTTGCCAACAGATCTCATAAACATATAAAGAAGTTTTCGATTTTTAAATTAAAAATTGCTTGGTTACATTTTCTGGGATGGAAAATATATTCAGGACGGTGGAATATTTTTGCCCTCGCGCTATATATACATCGGGTAAAGCTTCATCTGCGGCTGGTTTGACAGCTGCAGTCGTTAAGGATGAAGATTCATTTGAATTCGTTATCGAAGCTGGTGCCTTAATGCTTGCTGATAATGTTAGATCTCTTCTCGAATTTTTCCTGATATATTTGTTTTTTTCCTTATATCTTTTGAATGGATCCTTCGATTTTTATTTGTTCCAAATTAATACAATTTAATCCAAAGTATTTTATTTGGCATCTTGATTGTGACTGATAGGTTTGTATGTTAATAATGTGTGCAACTGTTTTTTAATGTGCAAAGTCTCGAATTTATTCATTTATTTAATTTCAGTATAGTTTTTATTTCATCATAAATAGTATTCTATTATTTTACATTTTGTATTTAAAGGGTGTATGCTGTATTGATGAATTTGATAAAATGGATTCTCGTGATCAAGTGGCGATACATGAGGCAATGGAACAACAAACAATTTCTATCACAAAAGGTTTTTTCTTATAGATTATAGACGTTTTTATTTAATCTTTAGAATTATAAAATTTTTTTAAAAGGTTGAAGAAACATGAAATTCATTTTTGTCCTTAACTGTTAAGTGTTTTATAATTTTAATTGGAATTTCTGTAGCTGGTGTAAAAGCGACTTTGAATGCTCGAGCATCTATTTTGGCAGCTGCAAATCCGGTTGGTGGTCGATATGATCGATCTCGACCTTTAAGGCACAATATACAACTCTCAGCACCAATTATGTCTCGTTTTGATCTTTTTTTCGTCCTCATTGATGAATGTAACGAAGTATGTTTAATTTTATTATTTTGTTGTTTTATTTTCTGCTTTTTATAACTAACTTTCCTTTTGTTTCCTTGAAGTAAGTATAGATTTTATTTTTAACCATTCTCCTTATTCGGTATCCTTACCCGGTTAAAATTAAATGGAACATAAATTCAAGAGATTAAAACAGAGGTAATCACGAAATTTAAGAAAAAATTAATAAATCATTAACTGATTCTTCTAAAGTTGACTACCACTTTTATGACAGTTTTTATAGCTCAGGTGTGTCCTTCTTTCTAACATCGGATCTTCCATCAGATTTGCAATTAGTTAAAGTTCTTATTAAAAATAAAATTAACTGAAGTTAAAAAAACACTCAACAAAAAAAAGAATATGAAATTTTTTAGATAGATATTGAAATTTGATAGAATATATCACATTTTTTAATCACCACAAGAAAATTCACTAATATCAACCCAATTCATTTGCTCTAATTTTCCAAGAGATTATTTATTATATAAATACTGAAGTAAACTAAAATTAATAATGAATGAAATAAAAGAAGACAACTAAATAAATTCTATTCAAAACGAATAATTTTGGTTATTTCCCTCTACATATGGTATAAAGATGGAGAGATTGCTTCATCACTTGGTAAATGTTGTGGGTCCTCAGCTCAATTCTCTTTATGGATTTCAAAAAACTTTTGCATTCAAATTTTCAGCTAATGTTATAATATTTGTTGCATTCCAAACTTATTTATTTTATTTATTAATTTATTTTTTGACACTAAACAAACTTTTTTAAAGTAAAAATCTGATTTTTTTTTTAATGGATTTAACCCCTTTAATTCTTAAAGAACCGATGTTATTTAAATTTAGTTTTGTAAGTGGTTGATGGGATGGGTTTTAAAATCAGCCTTTGTTATCCACCTTTTCTAATGTTGTGAGAAGATGAGTCAACACTCTTTTTTAATGAGAAATTTCTTTTTGTTAAGAGAATCCATTATGTTTATTCTTGTTATATGTTTGAAGCAATATACCATTCAACCATCCTGCACCCATTTTTCGTAACATATAGAATAACTATGAAAAATTGCGAATGAATAGTAAGCACTACTAAAAGATCAAAAAATAATATCATTGAAATAAATCCTTTAATGATTGGGAGATTGATAAAGCATTTAACTATGTATAATACTATGTAGCCAATATGGAAAAAAGCAAGGAGATTCCACACGCTGTCAAAATGGCTAATTCATGCCTACTGATACTGATAAGTTGATACATAAACGGAGTTAAGGTACGCGTATTTTATCTGCTCTTCTTTTCCAAATAATTGTAGGTAACGGATCATGCTATAGCTCGTCGTATCGTCGACAATCATGTGAATAAATCAAAGCGTTCAGATTTTCCTCGTGTTTATACATACGATCAGATTCAAAAATATATTACATTCTCACGCTGTTTCAAACCTAAGGTATATTCGATATTATTTTCATACAGATATAATTATATTTTAATATTTTCTTAATTCCAGCGTGAATTTCAAATATTACACAATAATTTTATATTTTCTTGGCAATCCTCATTCAGTGAATAGAATTTAAATACATTTTTTCAGCTTAGCGAAAAATCTAGGTCTTTACTCGTCAGTGAATATAAGAAATTGCGTTTGGGCGATAGCAATAATTCTATAACGTCAGCGTGGCGAATTACAGTACGACAACTGGAGTCATTGATTCGATTGTCAGAAGCTCTTGCACGAATTCAGTGTGACGAATTTGTATGTCATAAGCTCATTGCGAGATTTTTATCTTCGATTTTTCTTGTGTATTTGTTTCATCAGTGTAATTTTTTCTATTTGATTGATCTTCCGTTGATTGGTTTATAAGTTTACTGTTTTCAGACAAAATACAAAAAAAAATACTTGATATTGACGTTTTTTTATATTTTATGAATTGCCTAAAACTAAATGTAAGCCATTATTGGAGATCATAAAATTTACCTTAGGTTCATTTTAATTATTAGGTCAAAGTTTCATTATCCGGGAAAATGTTTGAAAAGTGGTCTTTTGAAAACTTTAACATGAATAGATCATTTCCTTTACATTAATTGCAGAATAAATTATTTCATTTCATAATTTCATTGTTTTTTGTGGTTTTACTTATTTTTCCCAATTCCCTAAAAATGGCAAAATTTTTATTATTAATTTTAAGGTTCAAGAATCTCATGTTTTGGAAGCATCTCGACTTCTCAGTAATTCTTTGGTTCGTGTTGATCAACCTGACATTGCATTACAAGATGATTTCAAGGAAATTGAGGATGTAAGTATCCATTATTAAAATTTAAAAATTCACAAGATAAGTAATGGTAATAGTTAATGAGTACAATGACTTTGACGATTTTAACGAGTTTATAATTCTGTTGCATTTCATATTGTCTTGCGTTTAAGAACTAATTTTATTATATTTTTTAAATCTTTATTACTGATTTTTATTTTATATAATTCCTTTTTACCATACTTTTAAGAAATAACCCAAATAACCTATCATTTTTTTTTTCTTCTTAAAGTATATCTGATTTGATTGGTTGCATCAACTTTTAATGTAAGACTGTTTTGCTAAAGAGAAGTCACTTGGAGACAGAAGTAGATGGTTCCACAGTGCGTTCTTTATTTTTGCTCCCATCAAAGCTCAAAAATTCACTATGCTTCCAGTTCAGGCAACATTTGACTGTACACTGCAGCATGTCGCGCTACTACTAGATAACTCATTTTAAAAAAAAATGAAAAAACTCTGATTTTTGATGTATTAATATTTCTGGAATATTCCGTGAAAGTCTCATTCTATTTAAATTTAAATTTTATCTATTATTGCAGACGACGCTACCTCCTGGTCAAATTTTAAGACAAGTATTGAAAAGTCGCAATATACTAGCAGCAAAATCACAAGTGCCGAGCAATATGTTAGACATCAAAACTAGTGCACATCGGCCAATTGTACAAGTTGATAATAATATTAAAATAAGGTTTTAATCTCCTTTTGAATTGTTTTGATTGGTGGTAGCCATTTTCTGGTGGGCTGGCTAATAAGCTGGCTACACTATTCTAAACAAACATTTAGGACATTTTCAGTTAGTTGAGGACAGAAATATAGGTAGTCTCAAGCATAATCCGAATGTTTCAATGGCACGTTTACTGGGACGACAGAGACGAGAGCAGAACTATTATATTTAAAATTGTATTTAAAATGACAATTTAAACAATATACCAATAGGCCATATTGCCGGATTGATAAAAAAGTTTGATAAAAATTTTACGGGACTAGAAATTATCTTGAAGTTATAATTCTTATTCATTAAAAATTATTAAAACAGGAGTATTAAAAATTAACTTATGTTTGACAAATGTTTTAATTTATCAACGATTATATTCTCGTTTTTGTTCTATGTAGAAATTTCAGATTCGATATGTATAAGAAAATTTCTGATATACTTGTTATGCGTATTCGAGAACTTGAAGAACAACAAAGTGGTAACGAAGACTGGGAAGGAGTAAAGCAATCTGAATTAATAGAATGGTAAAAAAACGAATAAATTCATTTTAATATTAATTGTCCATTTAAAATGAAAATTCTGGATGGTTGTAATGGAAAATTCTGAAAATTCTAAGTTTAGCTTATTTTTATTTACTCTCCTTATTAATATTTCAAAGTATTTAGGTACTTAAATGAAATGGAAGATTCTTTTGAGACCGTGGGTGAGGTTGAACTTCAGCACACTGTATGCAAGCGAGTTATACGACGTCTTCTTACCGAAGATAATATTTTGATTCAATTAAATGCAGAAAATGAAGAAGATCCTCTTCTAGTTGTTCATCCTAACCATGTTATTTCTGACGAATGATGCCTGTATAATTTGATTTTTCCATTACTTTTTTTATTTTTTGTTTTTTCGACATCTTTCAGTGAATATAAACAGTGAATTTAATAGTCGGAGAATCCTACGTCTACAACGATAGCTTCTGAATCGGTATTTCCTTCTGATATAGAACTGCGGCAAGAACCTAAAAAAATTGCGTAATGAAAAGTTGAGCTTGTTCTAATCTTTATTCAAAATAAATTTTAAATTATTTTTTAATGTTTAAATTATTTGCGTTTTCTCATGTTTTATTTGCTCTACATTGATAATTTTTATGGTTCGCTAAAAAATAAATCTCAGAGATAACCTTCGCCTTCCGAATAAAATCCTCTTAAATTGGCTCGTTTCTTTCGTCGTTTTTTCCTACTTTCACGCTCTTTCATTGCGAATGAACTGATTAATTCTTTAAATTCATCTTTATCAATATTATTTGAAGTTTCATATAAACCATACGCATGATCTAAAAAGATTTAAAAGATTGTAAATCACCTAAGTACATGGTAGGAAATAAAAAATATTAAATAGTTCATTAATTCGAATGTAGGTTACCGTTGAACAAATCTTTCAAAACAGTGAAGATTTTTTGCTTTTCTTCTAACGTTAGTTCCACGAGGTATTTTCTGCAATCTTTGAAATCATCTTCCGCAGAAGTGTCGATTTCTGTTGTGTTTTCACAATAATCAAATATTTCCAGCAAATTCAAGATTTTTGTCGTTTCTTCATAAAGCATTAAATCCAGAATATAGGTTTGTATTGGCTTGGCAAAACCTGGAGTGGATTTAATTGAATCTTTTGCAATATTTCCGGTTAAGCTCTCTCCGCTGGCTTTGACCAGACAAATTCTTCCATATAGAAGACGATGAGTTGCCAGCCTCATCCGGTAAATTTGATTATAAATAGGTAAAATATTTGGGGTAAGGCTTAAAATATTTTTTGAAAATTTTAACGCCTAATTTTTTGAAATCGTTCAAAAAAATTTTAAATTAAATTTTGCGGTAGGGCGCTAAGGATAATTTATGGATACGAATCCAGTTCTGGAAAGCAATTGTCGTCATATAGCAAATTACTAAGAGGCTAAGATTGCTAAATATCAGAAAATCAGAATCAAAATCATATTTCATATAAGTCTAAGTGATTCAATGTCGATTTTATATTGATTTCTTACGTTTGTATATTTCCTGGTTTGATCTGTTGATTGATTAGTCGGGGGGGGGGGGGGGGGGGGGGGGGGGGGGAGGGGGAGGGGTCCTTAATCCAGTAGTGTGTGGTGAGTTCGATTCCTTTTCCTTGAAATTAGTCAAAAATGAAACCGAATTGGTCCGGCTGCACTTCCAACGTGACCATCTGATGAAAGGATATTCCACTAGCAATTAATAGAACCAAGAAAACAAGAAGTTCTTTAATTGACCACTTTGAAATAAAGTGAAATTTAGAAAAATTTGGGGATTCCTGCGGAACGTTCATTCATCATTTCTGGACTTTTTACGCGCTACCATGTGGTAAAGACAAAGAATTACCAAAGAATTCGTTTGACATTATTTCTCTGGACCAAGACGATTCATTTTTTGCATCTGATTGAATTGAAAATTGAGTGGTAAGTAATTTTCTTGCTAAATGGCTTTGACTATAACGCATTCGAATTCTTCGATCACCAAATAAACGAACTTGTACTAGTTGGCTTGCAGAAAGAGCGTCACCGACTGTAGTACCATTAAGAAGCTGGAATATGTGGTGGATATAAAATTCCAGAAACCCCAGAAACAGCTTTAAAGTATAATTTTGGTAAATTCTTTTTGAACTGCCTCATTTCACTTGGCTAAGAAGGCTGCAATATTAAGGTTTTACTGCAACATGACAGAAAAAAATTTCAATAAGCTAAAATAATTTTCCCATTTTTCGAAAAAATCTTTTAAAAGTTGCATGGATAAGGAATTTGGTATTCAAGAAAATTTTCCCAAATAATTAAGTAAATGCGATGTGTAGCAATGCGATTTAGCTAACACTGAAAATATACCTCTTGTAATAGTTTATCAAGCTTTTCAACTGTTTCACCTTTTATATCAATAACGCATTCAGTTCCAGCAAGGTAAAAAAGTTGTGCAGCACTATACGATTGATCATTTAGAATCACTACAATATCAGGAGAATTTGTACAGTTTTGAAGCAAAGTCGATAAGTCAAATAGATCATAAGCCAAGTCGACCAAGACGACTGATGAAACCTAAATTATAAACCCAATTATGCACAAATCAAAATATGGTTAAATTTTTCTTCATTCGTTGAAAAGCCTTTCGCGATTGTACAATCGGCTTGCAAGCAGGTTCTTAAAATGACACATTTATTCCTACCAGAGATTCTGAACTCCCGAGTGTCAACGTGACGACCTAAGTAACAACCACTCTACTACTCACCTACACTACGTTTCTAGTCTCAAAAGACTTTTGGGTGGAAGAAACCATAAAAATTCGTAAAGTTCGTAAAGTGATTCATTTTCCCTATATTTTATTTGGAGACTTCAATATTTGATTATCCATAAATTATTAGCTAGCAGTTATATTCGTAAGTGAAAGCAAATTTTTTCGCATTACTTGAATTTTCATAAAAATATCCAGGTGATCGATAGCTTGAACAGATTTTATTTTTATTGCCTCATAATCAATTCCAATTGTAAGAACGGAAATTTGGACATCGACTTCTTTCTTAAATCGCTTTAGTGGATTAAAAATAGATATCCGATGGTCGAATTTTATATTATAATGGTTTATATTAATTAAGACATTGGAATCGCTAGTGGAAAGAAATTCTTGCCAATCATCATTTTCTATACGACATATGCGCGAATTTTTTAAGATATCACGAATTATTTGTGCGTAAAATGATGATAATTTTTCATGAGCTACGCCATTTTCCATGTAGAAAATTGAGCAACTTTTCTCTGAAAAAATAAACGGATATAATAATATACAAAAACGATGGATTATTTCATTGGCTTAATATCGACTTTTAGATCAGCAGAGTCAGTAGTTTAACCAAAGAAGATGAGCGAGCGCTAATGATTTGCATTATTTACCTATATTGGAAATTTCGTATACCTATAGGATGGAAACATTCTATAGGATGGTCGACTTTTTTACTAGATTCGTTAGAAAAATGCGATTAGTATAGTAGTTTCCTTAAACTTTTTATTCTTGGGCACTGACCATGGTAATCCACACTTAGTGAATGAAGTGGATAGGATTCACCATTTCTGGTCAAGCTTACTCCGCTGGCTATTAGAACGCTAAAAAATTTATCACCAAGAAATCAATCAATCAATGAAATGTAGAAGTATAGGTAGATCGACAACCACTGAAATCTTTTAATGTTGAGGACTTCTATTGTATGCACGATCCGAACCACTGGCTCCCAAAAGCAAAAAGCCATTTGTCTATGCCGATCAATAAAATCGAACAATTTTTATTTCACCATCCTTAATATTCCTTTTGGAAGAATTCAATTGAATGCTAAACGATAATATTAATTCATACCAAACAATTTTTTTCGATTGATAAGCCATAAAATGTTATAACGATCAACCGGCCAACAATACAGCAAAGTTTCTCCAATATTCGCTATATGATCACGAATAGAACATGATTTAGGTATGAAATCCATCTCATAACCAAACTGACGCTTCATCTTTCGCCAAAATGATAATTCAGCGATGGCCAACGACTCGAGGAGATCATTGAACTCCAGCACCATACAAATAATGGTGATTAAACTAAGAACGTCTAATAAACGATGATCGTGATGCCTATAGTTTTGAAATAATACCATATTATCATTTTCGTCGAAATTTCTCTCCCTAATGACATTGTTGATAAAGTTGCGTGAGAAATCCAGACATTCCTGGAAGTAATCAATGGGCCTTATTCTATCGCTCAACCAGCCATCTAACCAAATCAGAAATAATGAGAGGGAGAAGAAAATAGGAAATTCCATAGAATCATTTCCCTGAACTTTTATTTCTAATTATAATTTTTTGAGCTTTTTTCAACTTAGTTGGCTTTATTACAAATTCTAATAATTACCCGAATTTTTGAATTATGAAATAATATAATTGCCTGGTCCACTGCCAAAGCAACTGTATCGATTTCGCTGAAGTTATTTGTTTCGAGAAATGCTGCTGCACACTCGTAATCATCATTAGCCATGAGCCAGTGAAGTGCGCTCCGTCCCGTCAAGTTTTTCAAATCAAGTAAATCATATAACAAACATTCATCCAGTGCATCAGAAAATAAGACGCCTAAACGTTTATTTAGCATTCGTTGGTTATAAAATTTTTATTCCTCAATAATCAGTTCCTCGAAAGCAATAAAAATCCTAAAAATCACAATCTTATGAAAGTGAAAACGTATTTCATTAATATAAACAGTAGGATGAGACAACTTTGACAGGGGATTACTTGGTGCAGAATTGTCGAGTGATGTTTTGGTCTCTGTTTCCGGAGAGAACACATTAATATTTTATTAAAAATGCTGCAGATGACGCTCTATCTCAAAGTAACTCCTTAAGTAAAATAATTCGCGAAACTATCCCATTCTCGCAATAGCGAGTCTAATGAGTCCGATCAGAAATGATGGGTTCTAGCCACATGCATTAAGCCATCTCAGCTTAAAAGCCAGCAATGAATTAATCTATTATTAACCAATATGATGAGAGTGGGCCCTTAATTTAACTTAATAACTTACAAATAACTTACAAAATTAACCTGTTTTGATTATCCCTTCGATAACTTCGATCGATTTTTCTGATCCATAACAATGCCACTCCAATAAAGCTAACTCGAAATTAAGTTTCGTTTCAATAGCATTTCGTCCATTTCTGCATGCCTTTAAGTGTATAAGAGCCGATTTGTAATTAGCACTAGCAAAATAGCAACAAGCAAGCGCATAATTACAATCAAACTTGATATTCTGAAAATCTTAAATTTCATCTTTGTCTTATCAAATAAGCGCCGCGAACTCGAAACATAGTCTTTATTTCCACAAGTTTTGAATATTTTATAAATTTATAATATTTATAATATTTTTATAAATTTTTATAAAGAAACGAATAGTCATCAATGAATTACCTCATTTGATGTCGATTTCAGAACATCATGAAAGCCTTTTATGGCTGATGAGAAATTTTTTATCTTCATGTAACACTGACTAATTTCATAAAGTAATTGATCATTACGTAAATCATTCGGCACTGTTTGAGTATATTCCATTAGTACCCAAATACATTTCTGTATCATTGAATATTTCTTGTATTTATTTGCCAAGCTAAGTACAATATCAAATGAATTAAAGCCTTCTGTCTTCACGCTTATTGCAACTGCTTTCTCGAGAAATTTGCATGATTCGATTTTATTTCCGAGCTTATCTGCTGTTTCTGATGATTGTATCAAAACATGTACCTGGGAATTGATAAAATAGCAATCGTAATGGCTAACTCGCGAAAACTGTTTAAAAGTTTACTGAATTTAGAAAAAAAATTTCAAAGAAACTTTTTTTTGAGAACAAAAAACAAAAACAATATGGCACGATGGGAGTGGAGCGGTGAGAACAATACTTGCATTGCTAATGAGAACCAAGAACAAAAATTTCCAAATTCATTCTGTAGTTTAGGAATCAAACTTGTAGATCAGGTGGTCCAGAAGCAGATATACCAATTCTATTATAGCAAAGCCGGAATGCCCAAGCGCAGTCATCATTAAGCTGCTTTTCCTCAATAAGATGTCGTAATGTTTCGCATTTCCCTTCAACATCATTAATGGCATCAAAAAATGGCAGTTGTTTGCAAAAATTTAATAGAGCCTGTAAATTTTTTCAATTAGTTGCTAAATAAATTGAAGAAATTCTCGGTAATTACCTTTTTTCGTTGACCCAAGCCGATGTGACATTCGGCTAAATATCCATAAAGTAAGCCTATTTCACGACGAGCATTTTTTTCCATGGCGAATGATAGAGCTCTTACAACAATATTTTTTGCTTTTCGATATTCCCTTTGAGCAAGAAATAAGCGACCGATTTGTATCAAAGCATCCAGTCTTGCAGAATCATCACCTGCGAATCCAGCCAAAGCATGATAATATCTACAAAACACAATAAGTAATTATAAAATTAATAAATTATGCTAAAAGAAATTTAGCGCTATTAACAAATTATGTACATAGGCATCGAAGTAAACTGCTAATTCCATTCTTATCAATGTAGCACATTCTGCCATCTTCGTACCTCAAGATTTTAAATAAAGTCGAAATTTTTTGTAAAATGATACTTTAAGCAAATGAATGAATCGATTAATGATCTTTTTTTTAAGTGGAGTTGAGCACATGCTGAATAAATTTTAAGCATCAAGCGAATATTTGGAATTTGTTGATAAACAGCCAACGACTGTTGATAATACGAAAGAGCTTCATCAAGTAAATTCAACGAAAAATATGCTTCAGCAAGCTTGCAGCATGTCTGCAAAATATTCAATTCAAATAATAAAAAATTTGAAAAAAACTCGAATGATTTTAGAATTTACTTCAGCTTCTTTTAATAAATTGCCTTCTTCTTGCACTAATATCAAACATTTCATGTATAAATCAATGGCTTCATCATAAAATCCTTTATCAACAAGAAGATCAGCTTCATCACTCAGCACTGTCGATTCCCTATTAGACGAACAACTTCCATCAAAAATTGTTTTTTCGCATCGCAAGTGAAACTCACGTTTTTCCTGAAAGAATATCTAAATTGTAATAATTAGTTTGATGGAGACAGTTAATAATCTTAGATAATGATTAGCCTATTGTTGTACTGCTTAGATAATTTCAAGACTCTTCCCAAGTAGTACTGTGAGTGATTAATTCTCTGATGTCTTCGCCCGATTAGTCAGTGGAGCGGAATTAGCCAGAAATATTAACTATAATCAACCAAGCATGGACACTCCAATCACTAAGCAACTTAAAACAAAGTATTAAATATTATTTTTTCTGCATTTATAATTTTCAGGGTAATACTGGCGACTCACCTGTATTTCTATCGCCAAGAGACTCCCTGGCATATTTAACTAGCATATCTACCCAACAAGCCAGCGGAGCGAGTCTAACCAGCAATGATGAGTTTTAAAAAAAAAAGTCCACGTTTAAAGAAACTCAAAACCAAAAATATTTATGAAAAACTTGTTTTTTTGTCCGCCGATAAAATTTTATTAAATCTGAATGAGCATCAATTGTCAATAAAGAAGATGCGGTGGTTTTTGCTAATCGAAGTCGCTGGTATAATACATCTTCTTCTTCGTCCTGCTTATCACATCTTTCAAGCAATTCCGCCATGAATTGCAATCCATTAAGCCGAATATCTTAAAATATATTGAGTCATTAAACTCACGCAGTAAGTAATCTCTGAATTCAAAAAAGTGGATTCAAATTTTACTCTTATAAATTCAGTTTTAATGGAAAAATTCTTGAGAATGATTTTTTACAGAAATGAACATTGTCATAAACGTTTTTCAAATGATTCATTTGCGCCAAAAAGAAATCAGTTTTTGAAGGACTCAGTTTTTTTACTTTAATTCGACTTTTTTTCTAACAAATTTCCTACCTTTTTCTTCGACAAGAGCAAATTCCAAATGATTTTATGGCTAAAGGATACGACTTTTCTAACTCGCAAAGACAATTATTCGAAACCTATCGAGAGGGATGGAAGGAGAAATCGAGAGGAATCTGTACGCGTGGCAAAATATTAGCTGTAGCAGCATGGAATGTCAAATGAGTATCGGAAGTAACGGTCCGAAAACGCGGCTAAAGAACGAATTTTAGGAAATCCGGATGCTTTGAAGAATTACAACATGTCTGTAGCATGGCTGGCAGAAATCACTACTGGAATAATAGAGGCTTAGAAATGGAGTCGGCGGCTCCATTAGCCAATAATATGAATCTATCCGGCCTTCTTTACAAAACAACTATAACTCTGGGAATGGCAAGTAAAATGATACAGGATAATAATGATGTCACTGTTAAGATTATTAAGAATCGCGTCATAAGGTGGAAGAAATTCTTTGAGACAAAGCTTAAATTACCATTAAGCATGCCACTTATTGTGGCAGAGCTGAACCGCTCGTTAAACTATACGCTTGCAACCGCCAAGAGAAGAGGAAGTGGACTTCGGGCCGAACTCTCCAAATGTCCATCGTTCTTCATATCACACCGAATGTATTCTCTGGCATGGAAGAAAGAAATAATACTAGATGACTGCAGCAAAGCAAGTCTATTCTCAATTCTTAAAAAAAGCAACGAACATAAGTGATAATTATTGAGGAATTAACCTACTAGACTATTTCCGGAAAAATTTTTGTCTTCTTCCCTCCTACTTATGGCTGTGTGGGACTGCGCCCTAACCAAATTGAATCTCAGACCATGACGCGATTGTGCTGAACATGTTAAGAAGGTTGTTGGAACCATCGCTTCAAATATCAACTATAATCAACCCATTGTCACTTGTTTTATAAATTTGCAGCTGCTTTCAATTCAATTGATACAGCAGCGCTTTGGAGTGATGGAATATGACGGTCCAGGGAAGACTCATTTCATTCATAAAGGTATTTTACCAGCGTAGATCGGCACAGGTCCGTATATATGGACAAAGCTTGCCCATCAAGCCAATATTCAATTATGCAATGGACTGGATAACGGACATCGCTTGACAGCAGTCAAGAGATATAAAAATCCAGAGCATCTCACAGATCTTGATATGTTGATGATAACTGTCAACTGTCAATAGCTGCAGCGAGAATCAGAATCTACCAATTCTTAGGGTCAATGTAAATAATCTTTTCTTCTTATATATAAAAAGCTGATAAAATATCCATTTGATTCATTGCCGATTGAGGAAGTACCGGACTTTATATATTTCAAATCCAGTCTAATCGCAAACGGCCAAGCGAAAAACGAAATTATAACCCGGATAATGGTAGCTAGAAATGCGTTCTTCCAGTTGACGAAACCTTTATGGAGTTGTCGCGAAAGCACTATAAAAGTAAAAGCCTGCTATATGACTGCGTAGCATGTCCGATAAGAGTGGATGATATTAAGAAATTAAGAAGTTATCCACTCTAAGACACATTTTACAGGTTCGCCAAGCGAATAAATTTTCACATGATTGCATCCATCTCTGCCCAAATACCAGAATACCAGCTACGTTAATACTACCGTCATAGATACCGCCTTGGTTATGGTACCTTCTTCGTCCCCCACCACCAGAGAAGTTAACACATATATCTTGCTAAATGGTCAAAAAAAAGATGGGAAAATTTAGACATGGATTGATAGTCAGGAAAATTGAACATATAGATGGACCAGCGATATATGTATGGGCTTAGCCGATGGAAAAAAAGAATGAATTCTATAACTGTCGACGATGGCGCGATCAAACAGAAGTCTTGGAGAAGTCTTTTTCTTATAACCAGCGGAGCCTAACCAGTAATATTATTAGAAGAATAAAATCCTTTTCCTCAAATTTTCTATCCAGGTGAAATCTATTAATGAATAATAGAAATTAAAGTTGAATTATTTGAAAAAAGTTGAAAAAGCCTTATTCATCATGCATCTATTGTTTCTAGCTCCGTTGTTTTCGAAATAAATCCTAATTCCATAAATTTAAATTGGATTTCAAATATTTCTATTAAAGTATAGATCATATCTTTCCGGGTTCATATTGGCAATATTCGATTGTTTTGTATCTAACCGTTAATACAACTAGTTAGAAGTCTTCGAGATGGAATTAAAAGGAGAGAGACATAGGTTAATGACAGGTTTGTTCCTATCAGAAGAAAATTCTTTGTTTCCGGAACTTGTTTTATTCTCACCATGCATTTACAACCGGTGGTCCGTTTTAAAAATTTCTGTGAGCTACCGCAATATCGGAATTTTCGGAGAAAGGTGGTTTAATTTCATTTTTAATTTCTTTTAATTTATTTTTTAAATTTTTAAATTTAATTTCTATTTTAAATTTTTTTTGGCGTTTGGCTTTCTGTTGCTTAATTTGTTTTATCAATATATTTAGAATATATATGTCGTGAAAATTTTTGTTAATTCAGAAAGAAAAAAACCTAAAATTTTTGAAAGAAGTGGCTTGCATATTCATTGACGGTTTCACGAATTAGAATTGAAATATACAACTAATTGTAGATTTCATTACTGCCCAGATACCAATATAATAGAACGATGTACGAAATAATATCAATTATTAGCAGGATTACGGAAGAATACGAAGGATGTATCGTCGAAGCTGACTGACTAATTGATCGACCGATTAACTAACGGATAGATCAACATACTCATTGATTCTTGAACCCATTCCTTATCGTTTTTCTCACAGCTTTAAGAGAAATTTACATACAAAAATGGAGCAAGAATACAGCTGATTTATGATTTTAAACGTGGAAAAATTTATTATTTCGGTTTTTCCGACAACATCTGAGAAATAAAAAATAAAATACAGAATTATAGAAAATTATTAAAGGATTATAGAATTATAGAAATATACTATAATCATAGAATCATGATTTTTTGAGTTGAATGGATGAATACTTTATTCTATAAAAATTAAATAAAATTTAATTAAATTAAATTAAAAATTTTATATATTATTTGTAAATTTATTGTAAAAGTAGACATTTAGATTTAAACAAAAAATTTTCTGGCGAATTAAGAATACATGAAATTGTTTCCTTATTTTCTTACATACTACTTCGCTAATAACTAATAAATCATTCAATTGTTTAAAGTGAGCTGAGGTTCTCCTGGTAGTAAACCTGTTCAAAAATCCGAGTGATGCTGACTCATCTCTATTCCTATCGTCAAAGGACTTCCTGGCATATTAGTCTAGTCCGATAAGCCAGCAGAATGAGTTAACCAGCAGTGGTGATACTTCTAAAAATGGCGTGGAAATGTATTACAGTCGTCATTATCGAGGTCTTTTATAAATAGTGTTGTGAAAGAATATTTAATGAACGCGTCTTTGCTGCATAACAAATTTTGAAGACAAAAGCTTCAATCGTATGATAATCGCAAATTAGTGATATTTCATGTGAAAATAAAAATTTCTGAAATCTTCAACGGATTTTTTTATTATTCCCCTACTATTGATAAATCAAGAAGCATAACGTGTACTGCCCATATGGTATTCATTCAGTGGAGTGTCATTAAACCTTTTTTTTAATAGTTGCTGATTAAACTTAAGCTCGCTCCTCTGGCTTGTTATATTAATGAAGCTCTGGACAAATATGCCAGGGAGTCCCTTGGCGATAGAAGTAAAGGTGAGTCGCCACAATCATCCGGATTTTTGGACAGGTTTACTCCTGATAGGAATAGAACCTTAGTGTCCCCAAATTGAGCAACAACTCACTAAGCCATCCTATCCCATTAGATTATGAAATTCAGAAACTTTTAAAATCGTATCTGCTGCATAAACAAAGAAAAGATTCACTCAACAGTTTGGATAAACATGAAGTGGGTAAATCTCGCAAAACTTGTTGACACAGTGACCAGTGGTACACCTTCAATGATTGGCCAAGAAAATGGAATGGACAATATCGCTTTTTTCCAAAACATAAAACTAGGACGACACAATGACCAATGAATGGTACACCTGCAATGAATTAGGAATTCAAACAAAAATAAAGAAATAACACTGCATTATGCTTCTTAACGGAACTTGATAGGAAAATGAATGGGATTCCATAATGTTATTGATATTACACTGTAAATAACTGCAATGAACTTTATATATTACGTACTTACTACCGCCTCTGATTCCTAAAGAAAGTTGAAATAATATGCAGTGATGTGTACTTATATATTTATCTGGTGGCTAAGTCGAGATAAGTTCCACCGTTTTTTAGCATTGCTAGAAGATAAAGTTTATTTAATTTTATTTGGTAAAAAAAAATCAATTCGTATGCTATGCTATTTTGAAGATCCAAAATGGTTATTTGATGTGGTTATTTATACTAGTTTATTCATAAATAGTTGTGTTTGACAAAAGCTTAAATCTATTAAGTGAGAAGGCTGGTGTTGAATATTTGTCACCATGTTGACTTCTGGACATACCACTCGCTGTGCTATAATTAAACTGCTATAAGATATTTTAAGAAGAATAAAATTTAGAGAATTCATAACAAATTATTTTTAGATGATTTTTTCCTTTCGGACCAATTTTCATTCGTTTTACATTATATTTTTTGATATTTTTTGGTAATGCTTAGCAAAAATAAAGTGATTTTGTAACATTTAAAGCTTTTTTTATAACACTTCTATTAGTTGGACTAAAAAAGTAAAATAAAATAGAACAAAGTAAAATAAAAGTAAGTAAGCTGCGGCTCGTCGGCTGAAAACGTAACTCATGCCCTTTGAGCATAAAATTAAAACAGCAGAAAGTGGCTGAGAGACCTATGGATTAATTATCAGAATCAAGGTCAACTTCACGCGAATCACTCTATCTATAGTTCATTTAGTTCATATTGCCAAATTATTTTTGGGATATATAAAGAAATATTCTCAAGGACGACCTCCAGATTTGGCCAGTTAGAGGAGTTTTCAGTAATTGCACAACAATGGAAAAATTGCGGTCATAAACGATTGATCACATTCACATACTTCTCTTTAAGATCTTCATTCGCTCACCATTGTCAGTTCTTATTTCTATATTAATATCTTCCTACGTTCAGTTGTTTGTTCTTTCTTATTCCTATGGAATTTCTTTACGTATGTCGACTTTTATTTTTCTTATAAAATTATATAATGAATAAAATTGTTGCTTCCATCCATAGTATCTTATTACGAAAGAATAAAAGTCAATTTGATAAAGACGAAATCCCTAAAAATAGCCATAAGATTGTTTTTATTCCCTGTTTTTTGATGAATTCAGAGATATATACCAGGCTTTATTTTAATATTTCGATTTACTTTCTATTGTTAAAGATATCTGCTTTGGCGTATAGTTAATCATCCATCTTCTTATAACCATTTTTCCCGGTCCTTTGCTTCCTTCACTATTAGGATAAAATAAAAATCTCTTCGCCAGAAGATAAATTAATTGCAAAAATATCGGTGCGTCTGCTGCATCACCTTATTGGTCATTATTGCTACTGTGTATATATATCCTGTAGGAAACTTTAATTTCCCCATCCAGATATCAACCAGATGTTATGGTAATAGACAAGAATTAGAAATCAGCACTGGTGATTGATATATTAATAGCAACATCAAGCTACAAGAATGTTAGAAAGAGGGCATGCGGAAAGAGAAATACCAAAGGTTGGAAGAAGAACTAGAGAAGATGAGGAAAATAAAGTCCAACAGAGTGATTCCATTGACATTAGGCACAGTTAAGATACTCTCTCTATCTTCTAGGCCCCTGATGGAGAACTCGAGGTTGAAGAAGATTATGACCACCCACAGGGAATGAGAGAAAAGTGTTTTTTTTCAGAACCTTGAGACCAAAAATTACTGTATAAACCAATTATCTAGGTCATCCTTTTGAGATAGGCCAATTAAAAATTCATTGTCGAAATATTTCGACTCATCGGAGAAAATAACCGTATTATCCCTTTCGGTGAACTTTTTAAAAATAGACCAAACATACACAATTATTTCAGTATATTTCAGCAAAAGTGAAATTATTTATATTCAAATCAGTGTGCTATTCATTCTTTGAAACAAAAAATAGAGGAAGATTAAATTTAAAAAAATAAAAAACACGTATAAGCAATTTCATCCAGCAAAATTTCTGTAATAATATGATGAATGTTCATGAACAAAAGCATCTATTGAAAATATTAAGGAATCTATAAGACGTAAAGTAAGTGGATAGGTTCGGCATTCCTGAGAAAGGACAGTGTTAATTGGGAACAAAAATGAATACAAAGAGGTTTCTTGCACCGACCCAATTTTTTTAATGATAAGATTTCTGTATCGCGCAGATGAGCCAATTCGAATGACATTAAATTCGAAAATTGATAAACTTGATAAATCGAAAATTGACCTTTTGCTACTTTGCCCACAAGGCAACAGAATAGTGGATTTCTTCGACCTTTCAATATTTAAAATCCTTATAATTATATTTAAAAAAATTTTATTTTTCAGACAATGGAATGAACAGCTATGCTTGCTCATTTACTTTTCTTCATGCAGTGGTCGATCGGTTGGTGATGGTTTATGGTGGTGACTTCTCTTTCTATGAATCACTTTTTGTTAAATGAACAACGATAAAGTGGTAAAATTAATTGAAAAGGCAAGCGAAAATCTTTTCAAAAGGTAATTTAGAGGAAGCATTAACCTTATATAATAAAGCAATAAATTTGGAACCATCGAATCATATAATCTATTCGAATAGATCAGCGATACTTTACTTACTGTAACAATATAAAGAAGCCCTCGAATAAGCAGAATGAATGGCCGACTGGCCGAAGGTATACTTTTTTATAGAACATGAAATCTAATTCACCTCATATAATTTATCGTTTGAACTGGAAAAGTAGTCAAGCGAGGTTAAAAGCAAAGTTATTGAAGTTCTAAATATGAATAATATAAGGATTTGCTAAAACTTTCCGTTATTTTAAATTTAAGTTCATTAAGTCTATATTTTTCATAATTTTTCCGTAATTGTTAAATTTTTTTTTTCTTCTTTTATCAGCATTCACCATTTTTGCTTTGGCTAGCTCCACTGATTAATAATGCGAGAATAAACTCCTGTTAGAAAGCGAGTTGAGAATAGAAGCATACGTAAATCTTCAGCACCACTCGCATCTCACTTTCTCACTTTAAATAACTCGCTCCTCTCTCCTGTCAAGCAAAACTCGTGATGCTTGAGTCGAAGTATACCTTTCGGCCATACTGGCTCTAATCGAATTTTCTTCATTTCTTAATTTTCTTAATTTATTATATTATTTTGTTAATTATACTTATATGGTTTACTTACTTTAAATCATATGAGAGGATCAATTTGGAAAATTGAAAATTGAAATTGTAAGAGTACAACTCCTCTTCTCACTGAAGAAAGGAAATTCTTGGATGAAAAAGTATTTAACTTGAAAATTTAATTCAACTGACTTAATTAAAATTTGTACAATATAAGACAGATATGCGCAAAGGTGATTGTCTCAAAGCAATTTCGAAAATGGACCGTGCAATTCTTGCATACTGCAAAAGTCTTGAGATTGATATAAGAAATGTTCAGCTATTCAATTCACTTGTGCAATGCGTTCGTGCAACTCCAATTAAAGGTATTTTCTAAAGAATTGAAGATATTTGCTCTTTCATCGAATTACTGAGAAGAGAAAAACGAAACTGCACCTCTACCTACATCTGCACTCCATTGTGTCCTCTTCTCTATTTCCCCTCCACTGCCCCTTCCCCTCTCCCCCATCCCCCTCCCCTTCCTCCATACTAGCTAAAATATTTTCCTTTTAGAAGAGGAAAGGCCGCTATTATATTATTTTAATTTTGTTTCTTAGGGCAATAATTAATGCAACATTTCACTGATACTTTTTTTTTGAATAACATTTATTTTTTTCAGAAAATTTGACAGAATCTTTTAAAGCAATGTACAGTTGTGATGGAGATTTCGATTTATTCTCAATTGTGAGCTTGATTGGCCAAGAATATTTATCTGTTGGCTATAATTCTGAAGCAATTCTATTTCTTAATTATGCTATGGAGCTTGATTCAGAAAATTTGCATATGAAACTTTCTGTTGCTGGTGCATTATCTCGAGCTCATTTCGAGCAACGAAACTACCGAAAAGCTCTTGATTGTCTTAAACTCGAACTTGAATACGCTGAACATCTCGGTAAACAATTTATAAATTAATATATGCTATAAATTCAACCTTTCAAATTTTACCTTAAATTTGTTGCAAGGTCAGAATAGCCGAGTGGATAAAAATTCATAGATTATCATGCAGATTTGGATTCGGCTACTGCTCCGGAAGATTCTTTAAATCTATTAAAAAATCCGAGTGTTGCTGGCAATTTACCTGTTTCTTCTCCATCGTCAAACGATTCTTTAGCGAATTCCTCATCAAAAACCAGAAAAAAACCCAAAATTCGATTTGCCAACAAAAAATTAAACAAGTCGATAATTTTCTTAAATATTAGGTTTTGAATTAATTAGCCATTTAAAACTGCCACAAAATTATTTCGCGTATTTCACAATAATAATCATTAAAAATTTTTTAGATTTTGAAGAGAAGCAAGAAAGAATCCATGAAAATATAGCGAAAATTGCATTCATGGAAGATGAAATAATTCTAACCGTCATTCATACAAAGAAAGCAATTATACTGAAGGACAAAGTAATTTAAATCGACTTTTTCGTTAATTTGTTTACAGAATTAAAAAAAATTTTAAATTTCATCAGCACAAGATGGCCAGAAAAAAATAGGATTAACTTCGGCTCTTTTGTTTTATCCGTTAATAAATTTTTTTATTTTTTAAAGAGAGGAGCATGCACGATGGAACTATCGAAACTGCTCAGTGATTTGTTGTTTCAAATCGGAGACTACTCTGCAGCAAGTGATGCTTTGGCAGCAACAAGTTCAGCTTCTAGCACCGACTTCTTGTTTAGGCTAGCCAAGATTTCGATGGCGAAAGTAAGAATGATCCATTTTTATCGATAATTTTCGACTAATTAATTTTATTGACAGTGGTTTGAATGCTTCAATTGAATTGGTTAGTTTCCACCGAAAATCTTACAGAAATCTATATACGAATTTCTGGAAGGTGCTTATTTTCCTAGTGGGAATTATGGGGGATATGGGGAATTAAGTGGGAATTATATAAAAATTTTTTCAGAATGAACTAAAAGAAGCTGTGAATTATTGCAATGAGATCATAAATTTATCTTCTTGTTCGACCGAAAAGTCGGTTGCAACTGTTATAAAATGCAAATGTCTTTTGGCTCTTAGGGAAACTTCCACAGCGATGAATATTCTCAAATCATTTATTGCACAATTTCCTACTAATGAATCTTCTCCAAGACTTGTACGATTTATTTTCCTCATAATTTTAGTATCTTTTCAAGGATAATCGCTTTGATCACTACCGCCCTCCTAGCTTTATTGTTTAACATGAAATGCAGATGGTGGTAGTGGTGGGAACCAGTGCTTTTTACGAACTTAGAAATTATGACAACAGCAACGATCAATAACGACAAATGGCAATAATAATGAAAACAAAATCAAGATTAAATGAAGCCGAGTTTTAAGTTATGGATATCCATAAGTATCCAGTTTCTTATGTTAAGGAAATTTAAATAACGAGGTTATAGCGCTACAGTATACCTATAGAATATCTTTAAATATGGAAAAATTTCTTCTTGGAGTAATTCTTCTAAAATAGCATTTCAATGTTTTCAGGTTGCTCTTTTCTTTGGAGTTTTAAATGAATGTCACCTAGCGATAGGACAATATTCATTGGCTCGCAAATGGGCCAAGAAACAATTGAAAATAGCTATCGAAAATGGCTTCGACGATTTAGAAGCCGATGCTGTTAGGTCAATTTTGAAATTAAAAAAGTATTGCTAAAGAGTTTAGAGTAACGATAGTTGAATGACTTTCATATCGAAAGTCCTTTATTGGAGAATATGTCCGATAATATGTCACATAATATGAATGACTCCAGTTATTATGACTCAAATTTTGGATTGACTATTGGATCGGAGCTGAGCTCACTGGAGATATTTGCTGAATTTTTAGAGTTTATTAAATACATGTTTATTTAGGAATCTTGCGAACATTTATATTGAAATCGATGATTATAAAAATGCGCTAACTTTGTGGAGAAGATATTGTCAACTATGCCAAGTTTCAACGATTGGTTTTTTCTTAAAATATTTTAATTCTTCATAAAATAGGTTGTAAAATGCTAGTTTTAGTTTTTAGTTTTTTTGCCACAAATGCCACTAGCTGATGATTAAATTGAATATTAGTGTTGTAAGAATTGCTATTTTTCTGCAAAAATTCAGAGATGACCAGAACTATTATTTTTTTTCTCATCATTACTGGTCAAGCTGGTTGTGCTGGCTACGAGGGTGCAATTTCCCAAACTGCACGATCTGATGCCATCTTTGATAATAATAGAAGCCACTCTTTTTTCCATCTAAATTGCTGATCCACTTATACGCTTAAAATCTTTCTTAGCTATAGCAGCCGAGGTTTGATTGGCTCCCCTCGCTTTTGGCGTCATCCATCATATGGTTTAGCAAGTAATGAAATACAACTGTCAACTCCTGGAAAAAGCGATGAAGAACGTGCCTTAACCAGCGAAAATGGCTCTCCGTTTGCATGGTGTTATTGCAAGTGGTATTTGAGCAATAAAAGATTGCAATCATATGAGATTTTATCCGCCTGACGGGCCCATATGTTAGTCATGAATGGTCAAAGGAAGACAATTCCTCAATATCTATTTTGATCGGCCATGTTACGCAGTCAAGATCGAGCGAATTTCTGCTAGCTAGATCCGGGCTTTTATTTTTATTTTTATAGTAGTTTCGCAACAACTCCATAAAGGTTTCGTCAACTGGAAGAACGCATTTCTAGCTACCATTATCCGGGTTATAATTTCGTTTTTCGCTTGGCCGTTTGCGATTAGACTGGATTTGAAATATATAAAGTCCGGTACTTCCTCAATCGGCAATGAATCAAATGGATATTTTATCAGCTTTTTATATATAAGAAGAAAAGATTATTTACATTGACCCTAAGAATTGGTAGATTCTGATTCTCGCTGCAGCTATTGACAGTTGACAGTTATCATCAACATATCAAGATCTGTGAGATGCTCTGGATTTTTATATCTCTTGACTGCTGTCAAGCGATGTCCGTTATCCAGTCCATTGCATAATTGAATATTGGCTTGATGGACAAGCTTTGTCCATATATACGGACCTGTGCCGATCTACGCTGGTAAAATACCTTTATGAATGAAATGAGTCTTCCCTGGACCGTCATATTCCATCACTCCAAAGCGCTGCTGTATCAATTGAATTGAAAGCAGCTGCAAATTTATAAAACAAGTGACAATGGGTTGATTATAGTTGATATTTGAAGCGATGGTTCCAACAACCTTCTTAACATGTTCAGCACAATCGCGTCATGGTCTGAGATTCAATTTGGTTAGGGCGCAGTCCCACACAGCCATAAGTAGGAGGGAAGAAGACAAAAATTTTTCCGGAAATAGTCTAGTAGGTTAATTCCTCAATAATTATCACTTATGTTCGTTGCCTTTTTTAAGAATTGAGAATAGACTTGCTTTGCTGCAGTCATCTAGTATTATTTCTTTCTTCCATGCCAGAGAATACATTCGGTGTGATATGAAGAACGATGGACATTTGGAGAGTTCGGCCCGAAGTCCACTTCCTCTTCTCTTGGCGGTTGCAAGCGTATAGTTTAACGAGCGGTTCAGCTCTGCCACAATAAGTGGCATGCTTAATGGTAATTTAAGCTTTGTCTCAAAGAATTTCTTCCACCTTATGACGCGATTCTTAATAATCTTAACAGTGACATCATTATTATCCTGTATCATTTTACTTGCCATTCCCAGAGTTATAGTTGTTTTGTAAAGAAGGCCGGATAGATTCATATTATTGGCTAATGGAGCCGCCGACTCCATTTCTAAGCCTCTATTATTCCAGTAGTGATTTCTGCCAGCCATGCTACAGACATTCTTCAAAGCATCCGGATTTCCTAAAATTCGTTCTTTAGCCGCGTTTTCGGACCGTTACTTCCGATACCCATTTGACGTTCCATGTTGCTACAGCTATTATCTCACCACGCGTATAGATTTACCCGTCCCTCTCGGTAGGTTTCAAGCAATTGCCTTTGCGAACATATTTTATTCATATTTTATTTTATTCATAAGCTTTGGGATCGCTTTAAGCCCTGGCGATTGTGCGCTTATCGCATGTACCACCGAGCTGGGAGTATCAAGCGCGTCGGAGGACGCGGACTCCATATCAAAAAAACCTGACTTTTTCACCATAGAGATATCGTTTGGAGATATAGTTACAGGTGGGCTCCCAGCAACTACCGAGTTTTGATAGTAAAACAGCATTACTCCACAAAGAAAAAAATAGAGAAAACAATAAGGGATGAAAATAAAAAGGAAAAAAAAGAAAAAATTATTTAATATATATATGTATGTAATTTATATAATTTAATTAATTTAATTTATAAAAGAACTTGGCTCAATTGTTATCGAAAAAATTTAGTGATTCAAAAATAGTGGAAGAAAATATTAGGAGAGCACGACAGAAAAATAACCGCTCAAGAATTTTTTTTTAAAACCCAAATTATTGCTCATGACATGGTAGTTATTATTATTATTGTAATACGAGGTTCAAAATGATCAACTGGCGAAGTGATAAAAATTTATACCAGATTATAATTTTTGTATTATTTTGTGTTATAATTATTATAATTTTATAATTATTATAATTATAAAATTAAAATTTTATATTATTCCTCCATTATTTATGACATTTTATTTGTAAGTTCCTCAGGATATTGAGTAGTGCCTTCGAGATTTATCTTAATCAAAGTCTAACAAAATTATCATTCGATCAGATTATCTATCATTAACCCATTTGAAAATAGCCAGCTGATCCGATGACATATTCGAAGAAATGTATCATTTATCAGTCGATAAATTTACATTTCGCGACATTTCTGATTTGGTTGGCCACAGCAACATTGAACAATGGCTTAAGCTTTTATTCTTGTCAGCCTCAGCCAAAGTAATACCATTCCAGTATAATCCATTAACCAAATAATAATATCATTTGTACGAAGTCAACGAGGTCAATATATTTTTGAAACAATTTTTTTTGAATAACGAAATTTTCGAGAAATATGGTTGAACCCCAAGTTAGAGGTTTTGTGCATAAATTTTGGGCGTTTAATGAGAATCAAAAGTCACACTGGAATTTGAAGGAATTAATCAGAGAATAATTACGCATTTCCTTTCTTAAAAAATTTTTCAGCAATAAAATTCAGAATGCGAAAAGCGTTTTAGATGAAAATCAACATTTTATCAACATTCAACATGTATTCTTTTATACGTTATATTTATTTATTTTATACTTATTTGTCTAATAACTTAATGGTAATGAACCATTACTGATTGCATTGGCCACAAGCGTAAGGTTTAAATTTCTCGATCCGTTGTCATCTGTTGGCAAAAATTTATTTCCACAGCCTAAACCCACATATCAGTGGAGGAAAAATTATGCATATATATATATATATATATATATAATTCTTATTCTTATTTATTATAATAAAAGAATTAATTATTTATTATATAGGAGAAAAAGAAGATTCATAACATTAATGCAAAATGTCTGGAAGGCCTGAGAATAGCAGTCTTACAGCAATCGTGAGCACGAACCATGCCCAACTACGGATTAAGCTAATGAGAAATTGGATAGCAACTAGACCAGACATAATCATCCACACCTACTAAATAAAGAAATTAACTGCAATTCATGAACGTATAGCACAGATGAACCAACTGCTTGTGGCAGGTTCTTACCCAGGCTGGTTAATATCGGCACTATAACTCTCGTAAGAGAACAACACTATCTAACTACTGGCCAATAATCTGCTTTTTCACACTGGAAAATAGTCCAGGCATGTTGATCATCAAGCTTCATGACCATATGAGCCAGTATATGAGTATAGTTTAAAAAGCCATTGGAAATACAGAGGCTCCAAACACCAGCTGTTCATAGATAAGCAAACGCTCAAGATCCAAAATCCCAACATATCAATCTATTTACAACTTGGATTGACTATATGAAAGTCTATGTCCCCACACATAGATCTATCTGGCTCTATACAAAGAAAAGAAAACGGGATTCTAAAGGCTTTCATGGAGAAATCAATGGGACTGTGGAAAAAACATTTAACAAAAACATTAAAATCAAAATAGTTGCACAAATGGTTAAGGCACAAGTGCAACATTTATCAAGATGATACATTGTCCAGTTAAGGCATCGATCTAAACCTTATCAGCCGGATAATCACGAATAGAAGCGGATGAAAATTCAAGAGCAAAATCAACTATCTTTTTTACATGGATGATATCAAGTTATATGCTGAAAGCGAAAAAAGCTCGAATCTGCAGCGGTGACATTCGGATAGTAAAAAGAGGAAAAGTATTTGTGATGGAGTGGATCTGCCAGCAAGGCATAGGCACATAGACTAGCCATAAGTATGTTGGTGTCCCACAATGACATGGAAACCACGATGATGGGGCAAGAAATATATAGAAACATCTAGTACTACCAAAAAATAAGATTATCTTGAAGGGCCTGCTCGAGAATACGTTATCAGATGCAAGATTCGCATGATTGTTCAATGAAAGGCATGGAGATGTCAGCGCATAGACTCGGAAATCCCTCATAATGCATGAAAATTTCCATCCCAAATCTAACATCTTAAGATTATACACCAGCTGGAAAAAAAAAGAGTGGGGCTTGGTGAATGTTTTGAACGAAACATTCAAGAATACATCAAAAATGGCACAGAGTGAGTTGCTAAGACAATGCTTGATGCATTCAATAGACATTGGAAAAAGATCAAGCAGAGAAACACCGAAGGCTCTCCATGAAAATATCATCGACAGATAGTTGAGATGGCTGACAATGAGGAATCCTATCAATGGCTGGAAAAATCTGGATTAAAAGATGACATTAAGGCTCTTTGATCCATAAGAAAAGATGCTAAGAATCAGATACCAGGTTCATTGAAGCAGGGATCCATCAGAAAGGACACTCAAGGTGCAGATCGTTCAAAAAGGATCCAGAAACCCACACATAATGGCAAAATGTAAAATGCAAGCGAAAGCAGAATACTGAAAGATAACCAAGGCATTGTCTGCAGAATATGGCACATGGCTTTTTTTCTCCTTCCACAAAATCAGATGAGATATTCTGCAGAAAAAATGCCAAGATTCCGTGGGAGTTCAAATAGATAGACAAACAAGTGATTAGATGTCGTGGTACAAGAACCAGAAATCAACACTGGTGATAGATATAGTAATACCAACTGATATAAACATCAGGAAGAAGAATATGATAAGCTAAAAAAAACCAGGAGTTGAAAGAGGAACCAGAGAAGACAAGAGAAAGCCAAGCTGGTTTCAATAGTGGTAGAAGCTATGATTCCTGAACTGAAAAAAGTAGCAGCAGCAGATTCCAGCAGAGATCTCTGCTCAGAAGAGTGTACTGTTAGGAATAGCTAAAAGATACTGCTCAAGCTCCTCTGGAAGAGGATCCGAAAACGAGGATGACCCATGGCATCCACAGAGGATAAGAATGGGATTGTTTTAAAATTCCTTTCATGAAATTTTTTATTCGTTTTTTGTTTAATTGTTTAACGTGCTCCTTTCGCGCATATCTTTGCAAAAATAATGCATTTTCGTTTGTCTCAAGCAATTCAAATTTTTTCTAAAAATACGAAAATAATTAAAACCATAACCATAATAATAAATAATAATTCTTGTAAATCCTTCCTTTCACCATAAAAAGGAAAATTCTAAAAAGAATGTTTATTAATAATTTCATTAATAATATTTTTGTGCTAGAATTTTACCTTTTTCACTTTTTGAATTATTTTCTGCTCAATAAAGCGAAAATTTACGATGGATTCCTTACAACATAACAACAAAGCAGTTACTTTGGAAAGAAAATTTGTTAGAAATTTAAATTTATAAATAAACAAATGTAAATAAATTTTTGTAACCGAGATCAGTCAATTTATTAAGAATTGTTTTAATGAGTTAAAATGTGAACAATTTCGATTGATTTGGTGTTAGATTTGCCAATTTTTTAGATATTTTGTAGGCAAATTATATGGAATAATTTGATGATGGAAAAAAATTAGTAAGCTGAGTGTCAAGAATTGAGACACATTGAGTTAAATCTGGCTTCTCCGATCTTTTTAAAACTATATTTAAAAAATAAATTAATTAATATATTTGGATACAATTTATGTAACATAGACTCGATAAGCAAACATTGATAAATAAAAATAAATATGCGGTGAAAATTAGAAGCAAGCGACAGTTGGAAACAACCTGTACATCCATGTGGCTCTTGTAGACAACACGTTTATAAACAATGAAACCGCCAAACCGCCAACGGAATTTTGAACTAAAAAATAATTTGTATCATCTTCTCTGAGCAACAAACATGGCGTTAGGACCCAGCGTGCTACCTCAGAGCATCCTTATTTTTTTGCTTCGCTAAGTTCTTATTTTTTGCTACCATTACAAGCTTTTCGCATGGCAGTCGTTTTTTTAAAAACACTTATTTTTACTTATTAGACTCGCTTCGCTAGCTTGTCCAACTAACCAGAGAATCGTTTGGCAATAGTATTAGTATTTTATAAGTAAGTCGCGAACATTATATTTGGATACAATTTATGGATTGCTGAAGTAAGGTTTACTCCTTTCTTTTTGAGCAACAATCTACTGAACCATTGTATTCGCATTTCTCCTTTCCGCTAGGCGACATTGCCACCCGACAAAGAGTGGTGCGTCGGCGGGATATGATTCTCGATGACAATTACCTTGCCATTTAAAAATATGAAATAATAAAATTGAAAATATATAAAAGTAAATAAATAAATTAATGGTAAAAATTGAATAATTTATTCAACAGAATGACGATTCATTTATAAAATGCTTCAGATTTCTCAGTTTTTCATCTAATTTTTATATAGAGCTTATTTCAAGTTCACAGTCATTCAATAGAATAAATACTTTTTTTAGTGTCATTATCACTATTAACTTCAGTATTGTTATCACTATTTTTACACTATTCTTATCAAGAGTTATATATAATAAAAATAGGAAATTCTCCATCGTCGCATCTAATTATTGATGCATATTAAATATGTGATAAGTATAGCAAATAAGTAAACTTTTTCTTTTAAATGAAAGCCTTTAAATAACTCATCATCGCTTTTTATTATAATAAATAGCATTGAAAATTAAGCTCTATATTTTAATAAATGTATAAAAATAAGGCAATATGAAATGCGTAACCTCGTGTTATTCGATAAATTAGCGTAGAGAAAAGGTTTTTCAGAAAATTTGAAGCTCTTATAATTCGATGAAATAGCTGATTAAAAATTTAAGAGAATTGATTTCACTAATTTGCCTAAACTTATCGTCTTTTCTGAGAAAAATTCATTCTAAAAATATTTTAAGGAGCATAACTGCCATTGAAATAAAGTCCAGTTTATTGCTGCGGAACCAAGTAAATAAATGGTTAGCACTCACCATTTGTGGTTAGTTGTGGATCGCTCCATTGATTATCAGCAGGATGAGAAAGTTTCACCAGATAGACATCTGAGAATAGAAATAAGGTGATTCCTCAGCACCACCTGAGCCTTTGAATGATAGGTTTATTTCTTCTGCGAGCAGAAACAATAAGGCTTGAAATATTAATCTAAACAACAACCACTCGACTATATTACCTCTATGAATCGTCTATTTTCCTCGAACAGTCTATTAAAGATAATTTCTATCTTATTTCATTGATTTGCCGTTTGATTTGTTTTATCATGGACTGAAATTCAAACATTACCAAAACATTATCTCAAAATGTAAGCCAAAAATCTATTTGCGAATGAATATGTGACAATAAAGTATGAAGATATTATTATATTATTTATTCTCTTTATATTATGCATTAAATCGCATATTTCTGTCTATTTGTCGTTGCACTAAAAAATTGCTTAATTTTAAGGTTTTTATGGTAGAATGAATTTTCTAAATCCTGAGAATCCATTTGTAAGTAAAGTGGTTAGCTTCATTCCATTAATCGTTGATACTATTGGAAATTTGTGCCAAGGAGTTATTCTGCGATAGTTTTAATGACGGGTTCACTCCTGTTGAAAGAAAGGAGCTGAACCAATAATCTGAGCTATTAAATAGTCGGCTGTTAATTCCACGTCTATCTATACATTCTCTTCCTCGAAAGTGGTAATCAATAAAGCCAACCGAACTAGAAGTGATGCGTCCTATTAAGAACTAATATTTCTGGATTAAATAGAATTTGAAGAGAAAAAATTAAATAAACCGAAATAGATTAAATATCCGAACAAATATCTCCAATGATGCGTTAATTTTTCAAAAAAAGCTCTTTAAGCAAATCGATCTTCAAAATGAAGATGTTAGGTAATTAACATATCAAACTTTTAAACAAACTGATTATATTTCTTTGCTAATAGATTTAATGTTATAAGTAAGTAAGTAAGTAAGTAAGGTGACGCTGATCGATAGGGCGTGGTCGTTGAAAAGTGGTGATGCTGTTGATGATGATAGATGATGGATGATGATAAATCCTTGCTTAACGATGGATGAATCTTTCATTTTAATGACGAAGAAGAGTTAGGGAGTCAAACTATATACCTTCGCGCCGTATAGAGTTGCTTAGAGGGAAAGGAATCGATATGGGGTGTGGAAATTCGTCGAATCAACCACCACCAGCGACACCTGAAATTAGTAAGTTGAGCTGTCGAAATTTTCAACGAAAATGTTCAGTTTTACCTGAAAATAATCAAAATAGTCGCCCATGGATTATTAAAAATGGTAATCACAGTTCTAATTTTACTACTGCTGCTTCTCCTAATAACAGCTTAAAAAATAATAATGTCAAACATTTTCAACAACGACGACAACCACATCAACATCATCAATTCGTCTCAAAAATTATCATTTCGCCTTCATCGCAGTCGCTTCTGAGTAAGATTATTTAGATAAGCATGTCATGGAAACAAGCTAGTCAGTCGCAATCACAGATTCGGCACTTCGAATCTATTCACTTTCACTAAAACTGTGTTATTTCTCATTAAATTTCTTTTAAACTGAGCATTAGTGTGCTAAAATTTCATTTATTTTTTTATTTTTTTCATTTCATTTATTTTACTCATTTATATTTAAAATATTATACTTTTATAGAAACTATTTTCTGCTCCTATTGCTTATTTTCTTCAAATTTTTCATTATAATATTTTCATGTTTTCTTTTTCCAAGTATTTAGTATTTATTTGATCAGAAATAATCCTGAGATTTTACTAGTTCTACCTTTAGCAATGTGTGCACCAATTCCGATTTTATTTGCTCCACCCACTGCTTAGGGGTACTCTTTCATAGGAGCAGAACATAGGGACATGTAAGCCCTCACAGTCACGGCATTTCACATAAATGTTAGGTTCATTTATCATGGCGATTAGCTATTTGAATTTTTGTCATTATTTTAAATATTATATTTTAAATTGCATTATTTTTTATTGCATGCAAATTTTTCTTTAGTTAATTTTGCAAATTTTGCATGAATCTTTCTTTTATAAGCCACTTTCTTTCAATAAAAAATTTAAACTGAATTGAAACGAATGACGATTAACTGAATCTATTAGTTATTACAACTGCAATTTTTCTCGCCCCTGAGATCTGGTGAAACAATCCAAAAATGTGGCTAAAAATTCATTCATAATTATTCAATTTTAAAATCTTCAAAAATTCGAGAAGAATTAGGATCTAAGAATTAATGAAATTGCAACTGCAAATATGCAGTGAGCTGGGAAAATCTCAGAAAAAAATATTAAATCCAAAAGTCAGATATATTAAAAATGTTTTGAAATAATAAATAATAATTTAAAGAAACAGTTGTAGATTGCTGTGATGCAGTTAGTAGATTAGGGGGATAGAGTGGCTCAGTGGGTTGTTGCCAAATTTGGAGCCGATGCTGAGGTTCTATTCCCCGAGGAGTAAACCTGTGTAAAATTCCTGGTGATGCTGGCGACTCACCTGTATTTCTATCGCCAAAGTACCCTCTAGCATATATGTCTAATGCGACAAGCCAACAGAGCGAGTCCAGTAATTGTGAGGGCTCTTAAAAAAAAAGTTAGGAGATTCAAATATCTCATTAGATTCTTCATTTATTATTATTCATATTTATTATTCATTTAGATTCTTCAGATTTTTTTGAGATTTAAGACTTTCTAACCGTTTTACTGCTTTTTTTTGATAAAATTATTCAATGAAATATCATTAAATTAATGAACCTTTTAAGATTTTGCAATTTTCATTTATCTTTTTTGAAATTTTAAAAGTTGCCTCATTGACGAAGAAAGTTTTTGTCTTAGAACTTAGGCTTTTTTTGCCTTTTCTCATTAAGTTTTATTTATTTCTTAGTTTATTTATTTATTTTCTCTTTTTTTCCAAAATCTTAGCGAAGGAATTGAACTGAACTATGTTTGAAATATGGATGCCGAATATAGCAAGCTTATTCATTCCTAGAAAGAATAGTCCAGCCATTTAATTAGGTCATTTATCATTAGATCACTTACTTGGAGCATTTATAAGCCAAACGATTGTTTGTATAGTTTTATTTATGGAATTTTTCCTTTTTTTTTTATAAAAAGCATGGCAAGTAGCAGATCAGTTTTGTGGCTAATTTTCATCCTTCGCCAAATAATGAAAGTTAAGTGATTGAGACCTGGACCGCAAATTCTACTCATTTGGAGTAGAATTACAAGTGGATTCGGAAGGGCTATCTTTATCTATTTTATGAACAAGAATCCAACTGAATCGAACTGAATTCTGTATGATCTCTGTTAACCGAATATACAACTCCATTTTCTGATTTTGTCTGTTCTGCTATAAATATTGCTATAAATTTTTCTCACCGGTTTTCATAAATAAAAGTAACTAAGCGCTCATGGCTTGCTCCACTGTATAACACTCGTATAATACTCAATAAGGATGTGGTACTTCGTTGTAGAAATTCTTATTCTTTTATTTACTTTATCGTAGTTTTTTTGGTGTACAAATCCTTTGTTTTATTTTAAGAGAATCCATTTCAACTGCAAAGTTGAACAACAAATGATACATATCGTTTTTTTCATTCAGTCGCAAGATTGATTTATCCATCGTTCATCTGGTTTCAGTCACTAGTTAAGATATAAGAAGTCAACGTAAATACATCGAAGGTTTCATACTTTTTCTCTGAAAAGAAAATGTCGATTATTCGTGAAATATGTTTGATTGTCGATTCACTGCGAAATTTATTTGAAAAAAAATTATCTAAAACTAATGAAAACAGGATTTATCAAATACAATTATAAAAATGAAGGCGACAAGTTGGAAATGGGATTGATAAGTTATGTTTTTGTGTATAATTTAGACCTTCTACCACTCGCCATTTCCGGTTTGGCTATCCGCATTTCATTTTCAGTGGCGCTTCTAATTCCGTTAAGGAACAGGGATGATGAATTTGACCTCAGTTGAAGCAACACTGGATTATCCTGGGCAAGTGGGCCATCCTGCCTCAATTAATTTATGGTCATGGTCTTATTATTATTATAATGCCACCTTGTGCCTTCAAGAGGATTTGCTGATACTTATCTCTGATCAAGATCCAACAGATCGAAGTCAAAATAGAATCTACTGGAAAATAAGTGTTTTTGATTTTTGATTACTCTTATGTAATTTTGAAAAATCTTAAAAATCATAAACATTAGCTGAATTTGAAAAATTTTTCCTATTTCTGCCATATTTATAATAAATATAAGCAGAAATTATAAGCAGAGACGATGAATTAACTTTAAAAAAGTTAACGATATGTTCTAAGAAAAGTTTGGGTTTTTTTTTTGCAAAATTAATAGATTTATATCTGATAATTATATGATTATTATCATCACCGCACATCAGCTGTTGCATTTATGCTATTAAATAAATTGTACTGAAAGTCATATGCTTGACTCATTTTAAAAAAATTCGCTTTTCAATGGTGAGCAAAAATCGGCCAATTAGAAAAAAAATTAATTGAATGGCCTACAGTTGACTTATATGATCTAAAATATATAGGGATATCTTCTAGAAAAAGCAATCACTCTGATGTAATTAATTATAAGATATCACCATAATATACTGCACCAAGCGAGCAAACGAGCATATCAACTTTCTGTAATTCTTTGCTCAACCTCCAACCTCAAACTCTCATTTTCCCTTATTTTTTAACCATTACGGTAGCAAAATATTTCATGGTTCTGGTCTCCTCTTTTCCTTTCTATCAAGAGTAAGAAATTATATTTAACCAAATTTTCAGTCATTTAGGTGGTCAAAACTGTAAATTTGAGGAAGGATTATAGTTTTCAGTAGTGAACAGGAAAGTTTACTAAGAAGGATTACAGTAGTTAATTTAATCGGCATGTCCTATACAATTATAAACACTATTATTTCTAATAAAGCCACAGCATTATTGCCATTCTCAATCACAAAATTATCACCATTATCAGTCATCAAACTATTTTTCATATTTCAAGCTTAAATCATTAAAACTTTAAGCAATTCGAGCTGCAATATTAATTCAAAAATGGTATCGACGATGTTTGGCTCGCCTCGAGGCAAGACGTCGTGCGTCTTGGAGTATTTTCACGGCTTTAGAGTATGCCGGTGAGCAGGATCAGCTCAAGGTGACTTGATTTTCTTTTTGCATAATTTACACAAAGTCTTTTGAAGTTGTATAATTTTTTTAGTGATGTCATAAGGGCGATGTCCGAAACGGAAAATGGTGGAAATCGATCAATTGAAGGTTTATTTTCAGCGTATATTTGTCACAGGAAATTCATCTCATGATAGTGCCAATTTTCTTTAGCAAATAACCTTTTCTTGAGAAATATTCCCATAAAACATCTGACTAATGTTATTTACTTAACAAACTAACTAATTTTCGTCCTCTCCATTCTTTTTCTAACAGCAATCAGCATTTCCGGATTAGATGAACACGCTGGCTACCAGGACAAAGCCCTTCTCGCAGAGTGCCACTTGGAGTAGCTGAACTCCCACCCCGATATTGCTTTTAATCAGAGGTTTATTTCCGCAAGAGAACAGAATCCAGCCGATGATAGAGTGACTTCGACATGCCACTCTATCATCTCCCACTCAAAAATTAGATATTTAAAAATATCAAATTGGTTGTGGTAATTCTTCGATTTGTCACAAGGCCACTAATGCACTTTTTTTTCCTAAATGAAAATAAATAATTTTTCAAAAAGGCTTGTTTTCTCAAAAGTATTAAAAAATTTCTGCGAATTATTTTTTTCTAAGAGCGCTCGTCATTTATGAATAAGCTTGCTCCGCTGGCTTGTTGAATCAGACAAATTTGCCAAGGAGTCAGTGGCAATGGATATATTGGCCGCTCAGAATTTTGATAAATTGATCCAATTCTGCCTGGAGAAGAAGTAGAATTTAACTTCAAAATGATCAAGATCAATTATTGTCAATTATTATCATCTCCATTCTATTAATCTCCAAAAAATATTACTGTCGACGATGGCATCAGACCGCGCCGCTTGGAAGCGTCTTACCCTTGTAGCCTTTGGAGCCAGCCTAACCAGCAATGGCGAGAGCTATTAGAAGAAGAAGAATTAATCCCCAAAAAATCCTAAGACTAATCATGAGCACTATATATTCCACTCATAATTTTAGGAAAACATTTAATTTCGAATCATTTCCAGTCTCTCATTGAATCACTTATTTGTACTTCTATTTTTAATGTTTTATGTTATTAATCACGTTAATGAATGCAATATTGACACGAAAACTTTCTTGTACATCTGCTATTTTCTTTTGAAGCGAAAAAGTTCTCGTATAACTTTTGGATTCGTAGATCAATCAAAATATTTGTATCTAAGAAATTTCTTCAATATTTAGTTAGAAATGTGCAAAATTTTTTAGATTCGAAGAATGATGAACAACAAAAACTTTTGGAAGCAACCAATCCAGAACTTTTTAAAGTTGAAAAATCTTATAAGGGTCCGGTGATCTCGCTACCATTAAAAAAGGTGCATCTTGAATCAATGGTTGATGCCTTTAGACAAAATCGAGTTCGTTTTTTTGCTATCCTAAAAAATTTTATATTTCGACATTTTTTTAAAAAAAAATTCCCTCTTTTTTCGAACTGTTTTCAATTTGGTGCGTTCAACTCACAATTAAAATGAATATTTGAGAATAAAAGTACGAGTAAAAATCATCCGTATTTTATCAAAATAATATGAAAAATTAAATAGCAATCCTTAACAGAAATCTTCTTCTAACGGCTCTCACCATGACTGGTTAGACTGGCTCCAACGGCTACAAGGGTAAGGCGCTTCCAAGCGGCGCGGTCTGATGCCATCGTAATAATAAGCCATTCCTTTTCCCATTGTCTAAGTCCATATATTGCAGATCCACCTATAAATTCAAAATCTTTCCTGATCAAATCTTTCATGTCAGTCCAGGTCTTTACTGGTCCTTCTAGCTTTTGACGTCAACCGGTTTAAATAACGAAATATGCATCAAGTCCTGTGGTGGACGACGGAGAACGTGCCCTAACCAGCGAAGGCGACGCTCTGTGATAACATTATTAATACAAGTGGTATTTTAGCGAAGATGGTTACAATTATGTGCGATTTTATCTGCTCGGAGGATCCGTAGAATGTACCTTAGACATGAATGGTCAAAGGCTAATAGTTTAAAATCTTCCACTCTCATTGGCTATCTTTCGCAGCCATATAGCAAGATAAAACGAATTGCAGCTATATGGACGCATATTTACGTTTTTATGGTGATTTCGCGATGGTTCCATAAAAGTTTCATCAACCGGAAAACATAATTCTAGTATAACATAATTCTGCCATTATGTGGGTTACGATTTCATCCCTTTTCTAGCCATTTGGAATTAGAGTGGATCCAAAGTATTTAAAGTCCAGCATCTCCTCCGGAATCACTTAAGGAATCCGTAACTCCAATCATTAGCAGAAATTACATTTGTATTTTATTGAACTCATGAACTCATGTATTATTCGCTTTCTATTAAATTCAAGTTTGCACTATTTACAAATGAAAAATTCTTATACCAAAATTACTTTAAATTTTTTTCTTTTTTTTCTAAGAGTGCTCATCATTGCTGGTTAAGCGAGCTGATTCGACATCCGATTTGACAAATTTTGTTAAGGAGTTACTTGACGATAGAAGTATAGGTGAGTCACGAGTATCAACCAGATTTTTGAAAGATATATTCATTTCACCACACACAATATCGGTGCTCCTAATTGGCAACGACCATTCTACCACATATTCTAAACTTTAGATTAATACTTCTTCTTCTAACAGCTCTCACTATTATTGGTTAGGCTGGCTACATGGGTGAGACGCTTCCAAACGGCGCGGTTTGATGCCATCGTCGACAGTACTAGAAGCCATTCGTTTTTCCATCGTCTAAGTCCATATATTGCTGGTCCACTTCTACATTCAAAATCTTTCTTAGATTACTGATGTACTAATTAGTACTGATTAAATTATTAATTAATTAATTTAATTATTAATTAAGAGTGAAAAAATCAAAGATGTAGGCGAAATTATAAATTAAATTGTTTTTTTTTTGTTGAAGGCCCTTTTTTTGATTTATATTAAATTATGGCTTGGTTTCAATTTTTTTATTAAATGAAAATAGAAAATACATTATAAATAAAAATTTAACACTGGAATTGGAATTCAGTGGCTTCTATTGTTTTAAGGCTTAAGAACGATTTAGGGAAATAAAGTAATTTTGTCATAATTTTTGCAGGTAATTCATATCAGCTATTTGTTAACAATTTTGCGAGAAGCTCGTAAAATTTTCAAGACTTTGCCCACTGTTGTAAATTTATCGACGAGTTTATCGAAACAGGTTACGATTTGTGGAGATTTGCATGGAAAATTTGATGATTTAGTAATTATTTTATACAAGGTTAAATTTTCATTATTTTTTGTTAAGCGATTTCAATTTTTTTGGCATATTTTTTGGCCTTAGCCTTCATTCGTGCAATCTTTTTTTTCTGCATTTTCTGCATGAATTAAAGAACAAATAGAATTATCAACTTTGCTCTAGTTGATAATGTTACTGTTATTGCTGTCAGAGAATTCAGTACTTCTGATTTTGCTGGTACCACTAACTACTAGGTTGATATTCTTTCGTCAAAAAGCCACTTGTACAGATGTACAGGTGGATCTCCAGCACAATGCAGGCTCTCATAAATCATAAAATCTATAAACCGTGTTATTCCTTTGTCGGCAGCCTACTGTTATCCTACTTACTTACTTAAATCAACCTTCTTAATGTAATTAAACTTATAGAATGGTTACCCATCAGTGAACAACCCATATATATTTAATGGTGATTTTGTCGATCGAGGTTTGCAAAGTATTGAAGTATTTGTTTTTTTATGCGCTTTAGTTGTATTAGACCCCTCTTGTGTTATACTTAATCGTGGAAATCATGAAGACAATATTATGAATCTGCGATATGGATTTGTTAAAGAATTATCAAATAAATATGAGGTATAACAATACATTTACTGAAATGCGTTTTATTTTACGTTTTTACATCTTTTAGTTTTTTTTATAAAAATTCTGCCAAAAATTGCAATTAAAAATTTACTAAAAACCAAAAATCTTATGAAACGTTTTTTTAAATTTCGGGGCGTAAATATTTTGCATTCGATATATTTCTGTTCACCTGTATTCTATCTTAATTTTAATGAAGATTTTAATTCAACAAGAAATACGTGAAAACAATGGGAAGTACCATTATACCACTGTAACAATTCGCTGAATTACCTAAATTTACCTGAATTTCACTTATCTTACCTTACTTTTTCTAGCGTTGTACCATATATTAGCAAAATAATCATGTTAGCATGCTAGTGCTAAGTGGCAAGATAAATGCCATCGAGAATCGAGGCTTGGGTTTGAATTCATCGATGCACCACTCTTCGTCAGGCGGCACTGTCTTCCAATGGCGAAAAACAAAAGAAAAGTAGAAGTAAACCTGTGCAAAATCCGCCCACCTGTATTTCTGTCGCCAGAGAACTCCCTGGCACCTAGTCCGACAAGCCAGTGGAGCGAGTCTAACCAGCAGTGGAGAGTGAGTGATCTTAAAAAAAAAAATTTGGCATGGACAGAGCGTTCTCACTGATTATGCTTGAAATATTTAAATTAATTTTCATACTACTGCATTTGGCAAATCATTTTATTATGTATATGCGATGATTTTAACTGTAATATTTTTCAGCAATATAACAATATGCTTAATGCAATTTTCTTCTAAATTCTAATAACCAATTGCAAATAAATAAAAATTGTTGAAAATGAAAAATATTTTTATTTTTTATATTGAAAAGCGAGTGTTCATCGTATTCTTGTAAAGTGCAAAAAAAGTTTTCTAAAAATTGGCGCATCGTTTTCACTTTATTAATATGGCATCTACGGTGTAATTCACATTAGCTAATATTTGTCTAAATTTTGCTTTCTTTTTAAGGCTTCTTCAGCGGTACTTATGCGCTTATTAGAGGACATTTATTCTTGGTTACCTCTCGCGACAATAGTGAATAATAAAATTTTTGTTGCTCATGGCGGAATTTCAGACAAAATTTCTGTCGAAGAATTGAAAAATTTACCTCGGAACAAAGTAAACTAAAAATTTTATTGTCTTTGCAATTATTTTTAAAAGTGAATCGCTAGCCATTCCTTCATCTGCCTCTGCCTTTATACTTTGCTGAGTTTGCTTTAGTCACACAAGCATATATATATATATATATTGCTGCTCAGATTGGAGCGCCTATGCTGAGGTTCTATTCCCCATCGAGAAAAACTTGTTGAAAAATTCGATGATGCTGGTTATTTAAGTCAATCCTTCTTCTATCCTTAATGGACTACTTGGATATATATATATATATATATATATATATATATTATATTATGTGATTATATGATTGTATATATGATTGTGGTGATAAATGTTGTGATCGCACAAAAACGAGCATATTATAGCTTTTTGCCACTGTAATCGCTTAATTGAAGAACAACACAGTTATTACCACACCTTTGCTTTTTCCTGCTAGTAAGCATGAACAATGAAAATATTTTTGGCATATTCAAATCGAGATCCTTTGCTTTATTAGAATAGTAATCCGTACCCGATGTTACGATTAATTTTTTAGCATTAAATGAATTAAATAATACGAAAAATTTTCAGTACCGCTCAATTTTGCGACCCCCGCTTTACGAAATGAATGAAAATGGTAAAAAACACGCAAATATTCGAGATTGGAAGATGATTTTGGACGTATTATGGAGTGATCCCAAACAACAAAACGGCTGTTCTCATAATTTATTTCGCGGCGGTGGATCTTATTTTGGTCCAGATATTACAAAGAATTTTCTTGCTAGGTTAAATTTTATGGGATTTTATGCCATACAATATTATCCAATATTATGAGGTAGAGAAAAAAATTCAAAAATTCAATTCGATTTTCGTTTACACTTTTTTATCTCCTACACTCACCATCTGGTTTGGTTAGCACCACTGACAACTATAATGAACTTTTTCGTAATTCCCAGCATTACTCCCAGATTTCCAGCAATTCCCAGATTTTACTTCTAACTACTAAGGACGGTTTATTTCGCCCAGTGGATAGATAAAAACGAAAGTCCGCATCTATATTGCCGTGATCCGTCTGATCTTACTATATGGTTCTGAGACATGCCCAATGAGAGTGGAGGATATTAAGAAATTATCTGCCTTTGACCACTCTTGTCTTAGGTATAATTTACGGATTCGCCGAGTGGATAAAATCTCATAAGATCGCATCCATCTTCGTTCAAATACCACTTGCATAAATAATGTTATAACAGAGCGCCGCCTTCGCTGGTTAAGGCATTCTTCGTCGTCCACCACAGGACTTGACGCATATTTCGTTATTCAAACCATGCAATGGTTGACGTCAAAAGCTAGGAGGACCAGTCAAGACCTGGACTGACATAATCAGGAAAGATTTTGAACGTATAGGTGGACCAGCAATATATGGACTTAGACGATGGAAAAAGGAATGGCTTCCATTACTGTCGACGATGGCATCAGACCGCGCCGCTTGGCAATGTCTTATCCTTGTAGCCGTTGGAGCCAGCCTAACCAGTAATGGTGAGAGCTGTTAGAAGAAGAAGAAGTGGATAGATATCGCAAACATAATTCTTAACAAATCAACTGGAACAATCTCCAGTCGACCATCTTGGCTCACAATAATCATGAATTTTTGGCTCATTGATACCAAACAGTTAATTTAGACAGTTTTAATGAAACTGTAGTAATAATATTTTATCGTCTTCCCTCACTGTTGTCCATAACATTTCTTTGAAATAAATTTTTTCAAAATGTATATAAACGATTTTCAGCAATGATTTGAAACTTATAGTACGATCGCATGAATGTAAATATGAAGGCTATGAATATACACACGACAACAATGTTTTGACGATATTTTCGGCTTCAAATTATTATGAAATCGGTAGTAATCGTGGTGCCTACGTCAAATTTCTTGGTGATAATCTTGAACCACATTTTGTACAATATATGGCAACTAAAGTTCATCGTAAAATTACGACCAGGGAAAGGTTATTTGCTTACTAAATATACAAATTATTCGATAAAATTTAGGTCGAATAAATTCATTAGAATATTTTGGAGTTTGAATTTGCGATGCGAATTATATGAAATTACTCTTTGAGAAAGAAATATAAGCTGATTTTTAGAGAAAAATTTTACTAACAGTTAGTTCAGCAAAAAAACAAAGTGTTATCTCAACAAATAAAATGCCAAATCGTCGATTTCGATAAATTAGAAATAAATAAAATTTTTAGACTAAGTATTATTGAACATTCGGCAATCAGTAATCTTCGAAATAAAATAGCTGCTTTTAATTCAGAATTACAGCAGGAATATGCCAAACTCGATATTCATCGAACAGGTCTTTTTCATTACTAAATCTCTTCTTAGTCGGCCATAAACCATTTAATGGATATTGAAGCATTACAGCGATTTCGCTAAAAGATTCGGATTCGAATCGGATGGATATCAAAAGATTGGCTGAGAATAATTCGCTCTTAGAAGATATATATTGGTTTTCGCAGCATACCACCTGGGAATTTTAGTTAGGAACTGAAGTATATCGGAGATTTTAATGAATACAGGTCAAAAATTTTTTGGAAGCAATAATCAAATAAAACCGTACTTATATGTGTTAGAAGATATAAACAAAGGAATAAGGGAACAAGGCGAAACGAAATTTAGGGATATAAAATAGATTTATTTCATAGTAATCGTAAATTTGATTTGTAAATCAAGAATGAATGCCAATTGCTTCGAATCTCCGAGATAAAATATCGTTTTTACGATATTTTAAAATGGAAAGTAATGTAGTTTTTTGTTTTTCGCTCCTGAAAATTTGATAATTGATAATCTGAAAATTGCATAGAAAGAAATAAGTGCCAGGAGAGGCCAATGACTTCCCTCGGAACAAATTTGATTCTTAGAAATAGTTGCTTCTTCAGTTCCTTCATCACAATTTATTCTGATCTTAAATTTAGGTAAACTGTCGATTCATAAATGGTGTGAATGTGCGGAGCAAGTCACACGTTTGAATCTCCCATGGCATAGATTAGCTAATCAACTGGTTCCTCTATCTCCTGACGGCACAGAAGTTCTCTACCTCGAAAATAGACCCACGATACTTGTTGGTAAAACGAATAAACGACAAAATGTATGTTTCAATTTTGCTTCGATGGATCTTAAATAGTTTAATAAACTTTACTTCTCCATAAAAAACTTCGTGAAGGAATCTTCATTTCTAACTCGGCTCCCTCCACTTGCTGTTTGGATGATAGAGCCTCTCGTTAATTGAGAATAGAAGCACAAGTCAAACACTGCAACCACCCGGATTTTATTTTTAATGACAACTGTATCAAGTCGAACCAATGATGTATGTTTTGATTGAAAGAATCTTATCATTTGGCCAAATTATCCTCAAAATAGATTTAAAAAGACTTTATTATATGAAATTCATAAGATGGAATTCTTTGAGGCCAAATTTAACCATGTACCATCTGTTGCCCTGATATAGCTGATGCGTTCGCTGAACCATACGCTTGCAAATACGCCATAATCAAGTTGGATTCAGACCAGGGTGCGGTTATCTCGACCAGTTATTCACGATAAGAAAGATGCTGAAACATTGGTTCAAATATTTGCAAACAACTGTCACGTGTTTCATCGACTTTGCGGTTGACTTTGATTCAATGGATATAACAACGTTTTGGAAGGTGATGGAAAGCGACGATGTTCCAGAGAAGATCATTCGACTTATAAAAGCATTTTATGATCGTAGGTCGGCGCAAATCTGAATACATAGAGAATTGATTCCTTCAAAATAAGAACTGGTGTCCGTCAAGGCAATATTCAATTATGCGATAGACTGGACAATGGACACCGCTTATCGGCATTCAAGAGGTGTCCAAATCAGTCCAGAGCATCGTATCATGTCCAGATCGTGAATACGCTGATGATATAGTCCTTTTTGCTGACAATTATGATGAAATGCAAATAATACTAAACAATATATCAACAACTGCAGCAAGAATCGGACTCAGGGTCAATATGTACAATAATGTGACGTCTTATCTGATAAAATAAATCTTTTTATAAATTCACTGGCAATTGGTAAGAAGATGCCCCATTTCAAATACCTTAGATCCACTCTAATACCGAATGGCTAGGCAAAAGATGATATGAAGCTTGGATTACTGCAGCTATAAAAGGTTCTTCCGGTTGACGAAACCTTTATGGAACAGTCTTCACCATAAAAAGTTCGCATCTATATAGCCACGATTCGTTGGGTCTTGCTATATGGTTGCGAAATATGGCCAATGAAAATGCAGAATAATAAAAAATATCAATGCCTAAGATACTTTTGACCTCATGTCTAAGATACCATTTTAAGGGCTTTACGGATTTGCCGAGTGGATAAAATCTCACATGATCGCATCCATCTTCATTCAAATACCACTTGCATCAAAGTACCATCACAAAGCGTAGCTGGTTAGGACACGTTCTTTCACCACAAGAGTTGTCGCATATTTCATTACTTGATAAATCCTCTGAAGGATGGCATCAAAATCAAGGTGGTCCAATCAAGACCTGGACTGATATGGTCAAAGATTTTGAACGTATAGGTGGACCAGCAATATATGGACTTAGACGATGGGAAAAGGAATGGCTTTTATTAGTACTAGCGATGGCATCGGACCGAGCAGCTTTGAGACCCTTGTAGCCAGCGAAATCAGCCTAACCAATAATGGTAAGATCTGTTAGAAGAAGAAGGATCGATTAGCTTGACTTCATAAGTGATCTCTAACTATCGAATCCCTCGTTATATTTTCTAAATCTTCGAACATTCCACTTTCCAGAGAATTTCGGCAGACTTATTAAAAAAACAAAACAATGATTTTTTTTGCAGAATCAAAGATTTTCATTTCTTATTCATTTCTTATTTTCTTAGAATATGAATAATAAAACTCAGATTTTATCTCACAATTATGCTAGTCGCGTACTGAAAAACCTTAAACAATTTCAGAATAATGTTGATGTTGTTGAAACTCTATACAGGCATAAAAGCACTCTTGAAACACTATTTCGATTTATGGATAAGGTACTCTTCCTTAAAATTTCCGCTGCAACTTTATTTTCCCAAAGATTATACTCTAAATTTTTTCATATATTAATATAATTTAACAATAACAGTAATAATTATAAATATGAGCATCCACCAGTCACTATTTGATTTTTTTGACAAAATTGATCAAAACGATCAAATTGCCATACTAATGGAGAGAATGAAAAAAAAAAAAAATAATTTTGCAAAAATAAGGCGAAAGCTTTAAACTTATTTTACAAATCAACACAACAATTTTCTTATAAGATTGAATTTAAAGGATAAAGAAAAGTTCATTTTCCATGGCACACATTAATTTCCGGTAGCAATAAATGTGCCAAAAAAATTTAAAATAGAATTTGAAAATTAGCAGGACGACTATAATCCACAAATTTACAGGATAATTCAGGACTGGTGTCGATGGATGAATTTTTTGAAGCATGCAATGTGTTGGGTCAATATATTCGGTCACCACTCTCACGTTCACAAATCGAACAAATTGCAGAAAGCATTGATTTCAATAAGGATGGCTTTATCGACCTTAACGAATTACTTGAAGCATTTCGGCTTGTCGACCAAATCCCTGAATAAAAGAATGAATCAACGATTTATTTAAATTTAAAAAAATAACGGGTATTTTCCATTGCTTACTATCCTATAACTTGGAAACTACAGCAGATCCTTGTTTAGCTGGATCTTCCGAACATTCGGACGAATCCTTTCTCCAGAAAATCAGTTGAAAATGGAAGCATATATAATTCCCCAGTATTAACAAGATTCACCTTTAATAACAAAGTCTACCAGGGAATCGAACGGAATACATGCTGTATGTTATATATGCTATATATGCTTTAACTACAGTTAACCATCATATCAGTCAACTATTCTTCGTACTATGCTGTTAATAAGCTGAATAAGCTGAAAAGATAAGATGACAGCAGTTCGTTTTCTCCGTCAGAAACATCGCACTGAATTTTTCAACTTTTTTCTTCGTCTGCCTCATTTTTTTATTATTAAGAGCATAACCCATTATTAGATGCCTTCCTCGTGGTTTAATATCATTCACCATCGATATGTATATTTTCATATACTATGTTCCCATTTGTTTTTTCTAGAATTCAAATAAAACTTTCATAAATAGCTTTAAAATATACCACAATTTAAAAAATATATGCAAAAAAGGAATAAAACGTAGGAAAATAGTTCCTTCCTCTTTTTCTTAAATACATATGATTGCTGATTAGATTGGTTCCACTTGCTGCAAGAGTAACGCGAGTACTCCGGAAAATAGCCCTAAAATGTAAAAAAAGATTCAATCAATAGGAAAAAAGATATATGTAAAAATTCTGGATTGATCGTCATTTGCTACATTAAATAGATTAGAATAAAAATATATTAACGTTTTAATCATTTAACCAATGTAAATAAATGAGATTCATTCGAGATTCTATTCAATTATTTATAATTTATAAAATTTCTAGGAAATTTTGTAGTTCATAGAGCCGAAGGATATTAACTGATACTAATTTCAATCCTTTGTTTTTCTGCATATTACGTCAAATGCACTGTATATTCAGATGAAAATCAAACAGACTTCTTGGATTTATTAATAAAAACTACTTTAAATCGCCGAATTTTCGAGCCATATGTCTGCAACTAAGAGCTACCACGCACGACGACAAGAAATAATCACCAGACATTCAGATCTTAGAACTATTAAAAGAGGTGGTCATCGGGCTGAAACCTTCAAACAGTGTCCAACGTCCTTTACAACTCATCTTCACTAGATATAAAATCTCTGGTGTGGATGAAAAAATTAATACCAGATAACTGGATAAAAGCAATTCCCAAGAAAGATGATCGGGCGTATTACGACAATTCTAGAGGAATCAGCATAATGCACATCTCTGAGGAAATTCTAGCCTTCCTTCTCCTGAACAAACTTTAGCAGTATAAAATAAAATAACATGATGCGCCTTAACCAAGCCGGTGCTAGTGGCGCGCGTGTTAACCGAACATGCTGACTAAATATTCACGGTAAGGAGAGTGTTAGAACACCGCTTCAAATATCGGCAGCCGACCGTCACATGTTTCCATTTTGCTTTCGACTGAATTGATATAGATTAATTGCAACACTATGGTGATGAAGTGCGACAGTGTTCCAGAGATCATTCAACTGATAAGGATATTTTACCAGAGTGCATATAATAGGAACTGATAAATCTACTCCAAATAGGATAAAAAATTGATGCCCGTTAGGGCTTCTTTTTTCCTTAATTAATATTGGATTAATTAATATTGGTTGGATTATGGACACCGCATTCAAGAGGTGCACTAGCAGTCCAAAGCAGAGATCTTGAATGCGCTGATGGATCCTTTTTGCGGACAGACATAAAGAAATAAGATGCTGGACAGTGTATCGACGACTGGAGCAAAAATCTAATAGTGCAAGATATTAAGAAGTTATCCATAACTACACAAGTTGTTTCACAATTACACAACTACACAAGTGGAAAAAACCTCAATTCATATTCGTTCAGATATCACCTAAAAATATAGCATCGCCTATGTTGGCTAAGCCATGTTCTTCACCACCCATAGCAGGGATGATATATATCTCGTTACTTGCTGACCCTATGATGGATGGACGGCGCCAAAAGAGAGGCCGACCAATTAAGACCTGGACAGATACAATCAGTCACTGAAGAAACTTTGAAGGCCTAAACAGAAAAAAAGTAAAAAAGGAATGGCTTTTACGAATGGCTTGGAGAATACATGTAGCTAGCGCAACCAATTTAAGTAATAATGGTGCCATTAGAAGAAAAAGGATCCATTCGACCAAATGAAATAAATGAATTTCATTTATGGTACTGATTCGCTTCTTTCCGCTTTTTTTATATAAGTTCTATTTGGCTGGCTACAATGATTATTAGAAAAAGGCTCCTCCATCAGAACATCGAAATAGGTTTGCGGCAGGTGGGTTCCCAGCACTACTCTGATGGTATTTCTGTCACAATATAAGTCAAATTTAATTAATTCAGCTTACTGAGAACGAAAAGGAAAACTACAACAATAAAAATAAAGAAATTAACTGATTATAAATGAAGATATTGCAAGAAAATAAAACAGTGCCAAATTTTATAACCGATTAGACGGACTCTGAATCAGTTCTAATTACATACTGATACATACTGATAAGAACAAAATGAGCGAAGTTATTCGAGTAACACCGTTCTTATCAATTAATAATTATCAGCAAACAATCAGAAAAGCTATGCAAATTCCCAATGGCTTCCTTAGTTAGGTTTAAAATTATCATTTATAAGCCTGAAACCCCGGCAATAAAAAAGCTAGGAACCTACTGCACAGCTATGATCCAACGAAACTGCCATATCGGCCACAACCAATACCGCGACGCTTTGCGTGATGCAGCCATCACTATCTATCAGCCGATTCGTGGTTAATAATCAAAGATCTGTTTGAAAATATTTTTTAGTTTGGAGTGGATAATGGAAAAGAGTGGAGTGTGGGTTTGAGTGGAGATGTGTGGGGAACGGTTCGTCACCACTCTTCGCACCTAAGATTTTCTTAGAAGAAATATTCCACTGCGAACGAGTTTTCTCGTAAAAATCTTATTGAAAGCTAAAAAAGTTTAAATAGTGAAATTGTTTTCTTTAATTTTATTCTTGTTTTAGCGAAAAAATTGGGTTTTTTTAAATGAAAGTAAAGTTTAATGGAATTTTTATTTTCATTCTAAAATTCCTTTCAAGTAATTCGTTTGGGAATTTCAGTTCGACCGTCACGAACCAACGAAATTTTAAGCTTAAATTTTATCCCCGTGGAATTTTCTTTTTTGTATAAGCTTTATTGAAAATGGATGCCAGTGGCAGATGACTGGATGAGAGCGATTCTGCTCGCAATCCCCGTTGAGAAAGGGTGGTAGTGTGACGAGTTGGAAAGTTGAAATATGGTGAGAACGGCTCAGCTGATTGTTCCTCTTGTTTCGAAGCGAGCGTTCCGCTAAGCCTAACACGAAGCGATGAGCATTTGAGAAAAAACCCAGTCAAGGGATTTTTTTCCCATATTTTCGACGGAAATTGCTGGGTGGTTGTGGTTTCTCTTCTCCACCATTCGTCCTTTTTGGTACATATTGGCTGTGATGGCCGATCACGGTTATTGGCTTGAACTTCCTTTTTCCTGCATTTTAAACTTTTTTAATCAATTTTACCGCTTCTTTTTTTGCAACCAGAGGTGCAGTCGATCTCAGTGATCTTACGATTTTAGTTTGATTTGATTAAAGAATTTCTAGATTTTATCAAAATTTTTAGAATGCTAAATATTTCTTCAAATATTCAACCAACATGCAGTGCAATGCTTCGTGTGATTCCAGTGGTAAATTCATACATACAAAGCATACGTAAAATGCGCCGAAGGCCACCGAAACCAGGAAAACCACCAATTGTGCCACCGTCTCAAAAGGTTCTCTTTCTTTTTTACTTTTTCTTTCCTATTAATCACCTTCTGCTTAGTGTTCTGCTCTTTCATTCCGATTAAAAGTCTCTGATCGTTAATTAATCATTTGAACAGGTCCTAATTTCTAACCAATTTATTATTTCTGGTTTGTATGTGATGTGATGTGGTTGTTAAATATATTTGGAAAATTTTACCTCCCTTTATATTTATAGATTATGGCAATAAACTTAAGGAGACAGCAAGTGCCATAACCGTAACCAAGCTAAAAGGCCAAATATTTATGCGAGGATGAGTGTTGGAGCAAATATCAGCAACCGCTTCAAATACCGTCATTTGTTTCATAGATTTTGCAGCTAGTTTCGATTCAGTTGATTTTAATTTTCTGGAAGCTTATGGACTACGACAGTTCCAAAGATGATCATTTGATTTTAAAGGCATTTTACCAGCGTGCAGGTCTATGTATATGGGGAATTCATTCGAACTAAGAACTGCTGTATGTTAAAGCTGCTTTCTTTCCACAACAATTTAATTACGCGATAGAGTGAATTATGGACATAACTTAAGAACTGTATGTTAGTCCAGAGCATCACAGATCTTGAATACGGTGAGTACGTTGATGATATGACAGTTTATCGACAAAAATCGACGGTTAAAATTACACATCTTTTCGTCTTATAGAGTTAAAAAAAATACCTATTTTTATCAATTAATGAAATTCATCGATGGTTAAGAAAGTGATAAAATTTAAATATCGTGGCTCCATTCTTACGCTAGTTGGTCAAACAAAAGATAGAGTGGCAATCTGAATAATTGCAGCTAGAAACACTTTCTTTCGCATGGCAAATTGACGCTTATCTCGCTTAGCCTTGCCGCCGGTGGTGTCAAAAGCGAAGAAAGGCCTAGAATGAACAGTCAAAAGAGATTTTAAATGGCTCAACGATGTATAGGTTATCTGGAATATAGCGATGTATAGATATAGGTTATCTTGAATAAAAAACGACTTCAGTTATTCTTAGGAATGGCTTGGAAACTCCTTTCTCTTGCTGCGGGCGGAACGAGCTTGACCACTAATACTGAAAGCTACCGGAAGAAGAAAGAAGTGGCTGCAAAGATGCGCAGTGAACTTTGATAGGATTCGTTAAGAAACGGATGATATTTAGAAGCTATAAATATAATATTTAGATGTATACAATAGATTTTGGAGACCATCAGAGATTTGAATATGAGGGGACCGAGGTTTCGCATTTTGAAATTGCAGTTATTTTTTTGGCACACTCTCATGCAGACGAACTTTAATTTTATGTAATAATTGTCGCTTTAGTTTGTTATAATATTTTAAATAGTATTGTAATTCTATTTCATGGCTTTTTGTTATAATTATTTGAATTATTTGAATTTTTAAAAACTTGTTTTTAACTCTCTTTGTAAAGGGCGGGAAAAAAATTTTTAAAAAAATCTTAAATTTCGCATACAATCTAAATTTTTTGGTAAATTTACTTTTAATTATAATTAATTAATTAATTATTTTTATATATAATTATATAATTACTATACTTTTAATTAATTATAAGGAAATTGTACTTTATTATTACATTACAGGTGTTATACACAGTGGTTCATGTACCTTGGATGGAGCCTTCTGCTGTGAAGGAGCTTTTGTGGCGTCGCCACGTTTATAATAATGCTATCCTTTCTTTGAGGCGAATTTTCAGAGAAGAAATCGCTCAAAAACAAACTGGAGGTGAAATTTTTTTCTCAATTTTCTTAAATTTGTATATTGAGAAGATTTTTCCAGTATTTTAATGATGAAACTATTGCATAAATAATTTATATCAAATTTCTTCGTTACTAAATTTTTAATTTTTTAACGAGATATTTCATTTGTATGGACTACGGTCTCGATAAATTCTACTGCTTTATTTCTCTGCAGGAATATTTTATCAGAGAATGGTTCTCAGCTCATCCTCATTTTTTTTTTTTATTATTTCTGTTTATTTTATTTGTTTTGCTATTTTTTACTATATTATTTATTTTTTTCCTAATAATTATTTTTTTATTTTGCCTCTTTATCTTTAGGCTTGGCGGATTTGAAAATTCAAGAAGCGAGCGAATTGAATGAGCTTATCGCTGCAAATGAAAAACGTAATCAGGAAATGGCAAAGTTTGTTGATTATTCTTTGAGTTTTCTAGGAAAGGATTTTTTTTTCAAATATGAAATAAAAAAACTACTAAATTATCAAGCAATAATAAAAATGGATTCCATACGGTTTAAATGATTTGAAGATCAATGTAAACTTTAATATTATCAAAGAAAATTTTTAAGAAAATATTTTAAAACATTAAAAAAATATTTATGATTTTATTTTTTATTTATTCTAGGCTAAGAAATGAACGTGAGATCAAAAGAATGAAAGAAGTGGAGATGGAAGTGTTGAGGTTTATTGAAGAAGAGCTGAATAAAAGAGAGAAATCAGTAAAATTGGCAACAAAAGAAGTAGTTGAAATGGTTAGTTAAATTGTTGATTTAAGAGTTTTTTTTTCAAAACTATGTGGTTCATTTCTGATTTTCGAGTTTTATAATTAAATTTCTGATTCATACTACGTTTCAGATCGAAAAATCTCGTGAATTTGTGACTTTGGATAATCTTGATTGTAAACTTCATGAAGCTTTAGAAAATCCAGTTGTATATGATTTTGCTATTGATCTAGAAGGTAAACGTATATATGCGCCAGTCCCCAATAAATATTTAGAAGGAAAACCAGTGTTGCAAAAAGGACGAATGTACGACGTCACCCTTGGTTTTCCTCAAGAAGCTGTTCAAAAATCTGGCTCTTGATCAAACAGTGATGTTTTTTTAATATAGGGAAGGTTTATAAACGTCTGATGTTCATTTGGCTTTCATTTGCTAAATTTAATTGGTTCACGGGATAGGGAAATTATATATGTACAAGAGAGAATTAATTAAAATTTTTGCTGTTTATCGTTTTTATATATTTGATTTGTTGTATTTTTTAGCTGTACACTGGAATTATAGGTTATTAACTATCGTCTTTAATCTCTCACCATTTTATTTTACTTTGATTTTAATAGTTGTTTTGTTTGCTTACTTTGTCTTGTTTTAGATTTTAATAGAAAGAATTAAAGAAATTTTTTTTCTGAGAATTAAAGATAGTGTTTGGTTACACTGCAAATATTTTCTTTTTCTTAGGTGAACTATTTGAAGGGTGAACTATTCACTTCCTCTACTTCCGGTACCTTTGATGTATAATTCATATTTAATTTTTAATATTGTCATTTTAATGGTTTTAATGATTTGATGATAGTTTAATGGGATTTTTATTTTTTTAATGAACATATAAAACATATAACATAAAATAAAGAGTAGTAATTTATTTCTGAGAATATTTTGGCTATATATTTCGTGCTTTTTTAATGTTTTTCCTTATGTTCGATGACGGTAAGTTCTTGGATAACTTGTGAATCGACGAATCTAATATATTTTTCGGTGGCTACTTGTGGTGGATTTTGGGTTGGTTTATTGACCAGAAGTTTTTTTTTAAATAATGAATGTTCATTTTACGCTTATACATGATTATATGCGAGAGCCTTATTTTAAAGGAGATAAAGGAGAATAGAGAAAGAGAAGCAGTGTTTGGTTTTTTCTCACTTTTCGTAATTTCAGTTTTAAAGAAAAAAATTTCCAAAAAAGAGATGCCGCCACCGCCACCGCCACCGCCACCTCAAACAACATCATATAATGGAAGTAATCGCGGGACTCCAGTGAAGTCGAATGAAAGAGCGAGGCTTCTTAGCGAAATCCAAACTGGCACGAAGTTAAGGAAGACGATTACAAATGATCGTTCAGCGCCAGTAATTGGCAACTCTGGTATTTGCATCATTATTTCATTCCAATATTTTCCTTCCTTTATCATTTTAGCACTTTTTCAGAAATCGTATTTCCCTATTGAATCGTAGAATGCGAATTGAATTTTTAAAAATTTCTTTTCTTCAAGGTTTCTTTGCAGGCTTCAAAGAAGGCATTATTGAAACTAGTTTATTATAAATTCCATTTATTTGTTATAATTATAAACGTTATTTAGGTATTCGGGATTCCAATGGCCCTCTTACTGGTGCTAGCGGAGTACAAGGGAATTCGATGTTGGCATTTGGAGCTGGTGGAAGATTTTTTGCTAATGGTTTACCGAGGAAACCTTCAGATAACAGAAAAAATACAGGTTCAGTGAGATTCGGATAAATAAAAAGAGATAAAAACGAATTTTGTTGCATTTAAATACATTTAAGAATTGAAAATTAAAAACCCGACTATGAATTTTATGAAAAAAATGAAAAGCTATGAATTTTTAATTATTTTTGGATTTTCGATTAAAATATTCAGCTGTGGATCTCAATTCCGGTCCGATAATGCATAAATCGACACAGCCAGATGCGAATTCAACTTCAAAAAGTTTGGAACCGGTATATACTATTTTCATTCAATTATTTCAAATTTTAAATATCTTTTTTTCATGTTTCTTGTTTGTTGAGAATGAATCATTTGTAGTATTATGATAAATTATTATTATAAATCATTTGTAGAATTCGCCGATAAATCCTATAAATTTTGAATCAAATCAAACAATTTCAAGCGGAATCATCGCACGTGTGAATCAGTTCGATAGGGTAAATGAGGTCTGCTTTAAATAAAAATTTTACGTATAAATCACTTCATATACCACTATTGCATTGCGCTAATAATAATAAAAAAATAAATTATAAAAATAGCAAGGAAATTTTGCTCAGTTCTGTTTCTGTTTCTTTTTCTTTTTACTTAGAGAAGGAAGAAAATCAAATCGGAAAATTATTTAATATTTCATTTCTTAAAGATATCTCGTCCAGTACTTGCACCTCCAGTTCCACCATCAGCTAAAACGAAGCCTGTTATTCCCAATGTTCCTCCAGTCAAGAAGCCTTCGCCTTCTCCGCAGTTCAAAACAATGCGACCAACGAAAATGATGCATGAAATGGATGGAAGATTACGAAGATCGGGCAGTTCCGAGGTAATAAGAAAAATTTTTTGTTGAATTTGCCTCTAATTTATAAATGATGAGGAATTTTTTCGCTAATGGTGGAAAGGATAGGTTTTATATTTCAGTAATTGGTTTTTTAATGCAATTTTTTGTGTTATTAAGGCAATTTTGCAGGACGTTAGAAGAAACTCTTCTATTGAAAAGAAAGAATATTCACCATCTCAACAACTAAATCACCCTCAAAGTCTGACGAAAATTGCAAAGCCAGTTGGCCCACCTCCACCTCCTCCAAGTCAGCCACCTCGAGCAGGCCGAATTGCTATGTTGACGGCTTCTGACTCTTTGAATAATCATAGTCCTGCAATTTCATCTTTGCAGATTGCATCAAAATTTCACACAGCATTGAAAGTTGAGGATGACATTCAACCACCTCCACCTCCGCCAAGAACAGCATCTGCATCTTTGATAGCTGATCCGATGGATCGTTTTACTTTCATATCAATTGAAGAATTACCTTTACCTGAGGTCTTTTCAAGATCAAAGAAAATTTATGAATTTTATACTGGTAGAAAAAATGCTCCAGCAATACCGCCTTATTAAATTTCTTGAAAGATTTTTTTCACTTATATTCGTTTGATTATTATACTTGCTCATTCGCTTCATAGTGTTTTAATATTTATGTTCCTTTACAAGAAAGAACTAGCATAGATATTCTTTCAGTGATAATAATTATCTTAAGTTTTTTTGTTTAACGTGCATTTTGAGCTGAATTTTTATCAAAATCAGGATTTTTCAATTTAATTCTGTTTTCTAATTACGTATAAGCCTCACATATTTTTCTATAAGGTATAAAGTTTCTATAAGTTTTTATCAGGTCTTTTTTTAATAATTTTATTTTTAAATTTACTTATTTAAAGAAATCCTGGAACCTTTTCTTTCGCTCTCTTTTGTTTGTTTATACTTTAACCATTTTTTTAAAAATTGTTTTAAAATCTTTACTTATTTTAACGAAACTTATTTTAAGCGAATTCCAGTTTTTTGTTTCCACTTTATTCAGTATTATTCAATGTTTTTCATAATTCACAACATATATTTGCGGCAGATTTTCACTTCAAAACCTATTTCGCTAGCATTATTATAAAAATTTAGTCGATTCTAGCCGGTATTTTATTTGTTGGCGAGTTCCATATATTAATATTTATTAATATTTTGTATTGACGGATGCCACAAAATTAGTGTATTATAGTAGTAAAGAATAATGCAACAATAATGTAACAAAAAGGTTTTTGCGAAATATTAATGGATATAATTTATATTTGCGAAAAATCCATTTTTAATCGATTCAAATATATCTTTTAATATTTTTTTTATTAATAAAAAATTTTCGACGAGACTATTTGTTTTTCGGTATTTGCTATTTATACAATTTGTATTTATTTCGATTTTTTGATTGTCTTTGTTGAATTACCTATAAAAATATTTGAAAAAAGGAATGACTTGGAAAGTAATGAAAGGAATAAACAAAAGAATGAGGGACGATTTGTTAAGGTTGGTCTTTCGCGGGTCATTTGAGTCTCCAGAAATGCTCGGTGTGTTCGTTGCGCACTTAAACCTCACATTTGTGACGGTGGTTTTAGTTGTTTTTTATCAAGTCGTGATTTGTATTGTTTCTAGCTATTCATAACGATGTTTTATATTTTTAGTTTCATTGCGGGTCAAAAGTGGTCGAAAAGAGAATGTACAGCTCAGATCCAAGTTCAAGTAGTACAACAAGCAACTGCGAACTATCTCAGAGACTTCGAGCGATTGATGAAGTTGATAAAAAAATTTTAGATATGATGCGACAAGCACAGTTATGCATAGCAGAACTTAGTAAGGAAAAGCAGGTACTTGGAAGTTATAGCTCATAAAGTATAAGAACATAGCCATCGTCACATCATAAAATAATACTTCTAGTAATTATGACTTATTAGAAAGTACAGTTGCAAGGAATAATTAATGCTAATAATAATAAATTATAATCAGATAAGTGATCATAGAATAAACCCTCTTGACCCGAAGATATTAAGTGCAATTTATATTTATTTATTTTATATATATTTATTAATTTATTAAACAATAATGGTAACTGATATAGAGCGAATCGTTAGCACCCATTATTTTTGGTTAGATTCGCTTGATTAGCGGTTAGTGCGATGAAACTTTACAGGGAGTCACTAGTACAGCTTCCTAACTGCACAGTGATGACACGTTTGGTTTTGCTCGAGGCCGAACCTTGCTATTCGAAACGAGCAAATAAGATAAAATGACAAAGAGTGATTGTTCCTCATTTATTCTTCATGTTTTGATAAAGCAAATGAATGTAAGTAACGTTGCCATAAAAGCAACAATGACCGATTAATAGTTGTTTTTTTTCTGGATGAAAAGGTCGTTTTTCAGATAAGTAAATCGAAAATGGAAGAAGCGTCTTCGTCGTTCAAACGTTGCTTAAATTCCATAGAAAGCGATTTAAGTTCTCAAATGCAATATCTGAGCCATGTCTGCGTCGGAACAGCTCATCAAGGCTCAACATTTGCTAGCCAACAAAGCATTTCGTTGTCCGAGCAAAGTTTCAACGCCCTTAGAGACAATATTAAAGCGGTACAACATATGTGTATGCCTTTTAAAACTGAGCCTTGTGATAGTATGGATTAGCCGTCATTCTTTTCACATATTTCGTGTTTCCAATATCTCTGATTGGCTTAAGTCTTAAAGTTTCGGAGATATTTTTCGTTTTCTGAAGCATATTTTCGCATGTTGAAAGTCACTTCCTTTCATTTTAATTTCTTTATTGCAATAAACTGAAAAGCGGAGTTTCATTTCGCACAAAATAAAGTAACATGGAAATTCCGCGTTAGTGCGCATATCTGTGTCTTTTAAGAACGCTCACCGCTGCTGGCTAGACTGGTTTATCGGCCGTGAAAGGATAAACGAGCATATTTACGATCACTGCTTCAGTAAATAGAACATTCTGCGACAACCCGTGCAAACGCTCGGTAGCTTAAAGATGTAGCATAAATAAATCGTGCTGTGAAATCCTCATTTACGTCACCTTTCACCACAGAGGGCCAGCAAAAGCGTAATTATCCTGGAGAAATGAAAGAAAGCAATATTCCAGCACTGCTAGGGGAATTGTTCAGCACTCATTTTAAAAATCGATGTGTTAAAGCAGCAAATTGCATAATTCATTTTAATTTAGAGTTGCTAAACGCTCATTACGGTCTTTCAGCGAATGTATGCCTATTAAATTGTTGCCAGCTTGCCGTTATTTCGTGAAATTTGTGATGATTATTTTGATGATTATTTTTTTATAGAAAGGGGGGAAGTGGGAGCGCATTGATTTTAATACGGAGGTTTGTTGCTCTTTAATTTTATGAATTCAACACTTTTAAAAGTTTCCTAATTGAGTTTTTAATTTAAAGTTATTAATTTAAAGTCGCCAATTGTTCAGTTTTTAATTTAAAATTATTAATTTAAAGTCGCCAGTGCGCAGCGAATTGCTTTGGCAGCCCGGCAATGGGGCTGCGAACTGCTTTGGCAGCCCGGTCATGGGGTTAACATAGATCGTCAGTGCCCCCTACGTTTCACTTTTAATGGCAAGGTTTACCCTTGTGATAAGCCATGGGCCTTTGGTATTTAACCTCGTTCGAAGCAATTACCATTCGATTGTTCTGTGATTATGGATTGAATAGAAGCTCTTTACATTTACATACTGTCATGAAGTGGCGAAAGTAAAAAGGCTACTTTTTGATCGGTTAGGGTCGATCTGCTTTCGCTCTTTTGGTTCCCCTCGCTTCATTGATTTGGTCGACCACATTGCTGGGTCATCTTTTTGTATTTGTTGGTACTCCATTGGTTCCTTTTTTGCTTTCTTTATGAATGTCTTCGTCTTCATGCATTTGGATCTTACTTATATTCGCGATTTTGGCATATGTCACGAAACTCCGACACACCACTCTGAACTTATGAAAACTGCTTTATCAACCTTCTTTTCATTGATTCCTGGTTGATTTGTAATTAATTTGTTGATAAATAACTGCTGGTTCGAATCAATTTTCGTTTTTCATGGTCCTATAGCTTTTTTTGATTTCTGTTTGTCATTATACTGTCATTCAGAACATAAATTTTTTTGTTCATACATTGAGTGAAATCATCTGAAATCCATTTGTCTGTAGAACCTGACGACTACAAGTTCGCCCTCTATGAATATTCAATAGGGGAACAGACTAATTTTCTGTTTGTTTCCACCTCGTTTTTCTAAAAATTTTTCTCGGTATTTGGAGGATTTATTAAAAATTATTATTGCATAATCTTATATATTTTTTTGTACAGGATGTCCAATGCAAATTCTGTAATGTTTCGTTTAACTTGACGTTTTATTCAATTTCGAGAAGAATAGCATGAACGCAATCAACTCTGAAGAAATATACAACAGTAGAAAGATGTTTTGCGCTCATAAATCAGAAGATTCTAGAATTCGCTAAACCTAGGTTGTTTAATTTTGGTGATGTGCGTCATTTATTAAATTAGATCATATGTCATTTAATTTGTGACACATTACATAATTATGACATGAACATAATGGATGGCATCGTCTTCGAAATGTTACAGAACAATTCTTTAAATTAGAAATTTTTTCTTTAATTTATTAATTTATTAAAGAAGTAAATGCTATTTTAAGGGAGGAGTATGGATTCCGCTATTTTTTTGCATAATATTCTTTTTTATAAACTCGAGGCAATTTAAAGCATAATTTCCTACAGTATTCGCCAAAAACTTTGCATATATCCACATTCTCTATGTTAGCTGAAAAAAAGAATTGATTTAAGCAATTAGACATCTTAGCAGACACTGTGAAGGCGACAAATAACGTGAAAATCTGCCAAATCAAGAAAAGAAGTGAAGATATAAAAATTTTTTTTCACTTTTAGGTTTCATAATATTTTCAAAATTAAATCGTCAATTTGGAATGAAAGATTGCTAAATTAGAAAAATCCCTTTCAAGGATTGAATTTTAGAAAATTAATACTACTTTTTAACCTCATTGAGTTTATTAATTCTGTTTATTTTTTAATTATTAAGTTTATTTATTTTTTAGAAAGAAAAAAAGATAATGGATGGATTTAACGATAAAAGTGCAAGTCAAATCGCAGAAGTTGGTAAAAAAAGTGTGGTATTGGGTCGCAATTATTTATATAAACGACGAGGCCGACATCGAAAATCTGATGCATTAATTGATTACGCAATTTATAATATACTTAAATCGGGTAAAGCTGTTTCACCGATCGTTGTACATCGTGAATTATCCAAGAATCCACTATATAACCTCAGTGAGCGAACATTAAGGAGGCGACTTGCTGAGTTTGGGAATTCTCGAAATGCATTAGCTTCTCGACGTCCTCGAAGTTGTGAACCAGTTGTTGATAAAATTTCTGATAATGCATCGTTTAATTCGGTTAGTCGTCTAATTTTAAATTTTTGGCACAATTCAGTCGTATGGGTAGCGCTATCCTTTCCTTTTTTTTCTTTCTTTTCCTTAATTTTCGTCTATTCTTTCGTCATTGTGTTATTTTTTCAGCAGAAATTTGCTTTGAAAATATTATACCTCCAATAATCTTACATTTCTTCATCAATCATTTGTATTAAATCATTAAATATAATCATTTAATAATTAAGTAATAGTTAAGTTAATAATTTCAGCTTCACTATCTTAATAGTTTTAATTCTTAGGTTTCTTCCATTTCTTTCTATAGTTATTTTATTTTCATTTTTTGTCGTTAGAAGCAAATTTAGCAAAGGCAATTGAGAGTTAAATTTTTGAAAGTTAAATTCTCTTTAGCAGGAGCAGTAGGAAGCAGCAATCCTCAGGAATCATAAATCATAGATTAAAGTAAATATATAATTTTCCAATTGGTTCTTATTCTTCCAAAGCACTCATTTTTAATTTGTTCGCCTGCACTGATTCTTGAGAATAAGATAAGTCTACAGCTGTCGGATTTTGTCGTATGTCATTGATGCAAAGCTTAATTTCTTTTTTCAGGTCATTAATATTGATTCTACATTTAATGATGTGATCAATAATGATGCTTTTTTGTATTCATTGCAAATGACGGAAAATGCGCAGACATCGCAATTGTCACTGGGAAATGGCCGTGATCCTATCGAGCTATCGTCATCCGTTAGTTTCGTCACTGCGTTATTTTTTCAGTAGAAATTTGCTTTGAAAATCTCTACTCAATTTTATCTATGGTATTTAACTTTTTTTCTTTTAATTTTCAAAATCCAATTATTTTTTAAATTTTTTCTGCAAAACTTTTCACTTACGATCTATTTACATTTTATATTTTACTCTTTTTAAGTGGATTTTTTTGATTGAAAGTTTATTTTTTTAGACAGTTTCCTCGAATAATGCTGCAAATTTGCTTGCGTTGGAGTCTAAAGATGTTAAAGACGAAATAAGAGATTGTTACGGAGCCACGAGTGCTTTTTCGGCATTTGAACCTTCTCGTTTTCTGCGTCAAAACCAAAATCAAACTGAAGTCGCTGAGGAAAAAGTTGGAAGTAGTGGATGTACGATGAATGATAACGAGGATTTACAAGCAATGTTAGAAGCAAATTTCGCTCTCCTGTCTCGTGAAGGAATTGAAAAGTTCATGATGAAACTCCATTCGGCCATTCAACAGCATAGACAAAAAATGGCTTCTAAGGCAGCAGAAATGATGCGTGAATTGCCGGCTAATATACGTCTTGAATTGTTAGATCATTTAAAAGATTCTATGAAAAATAATGAACGTCTCTTGCTTTGATGAATCCATGGAGAGATGTAATGTTTAGTAACAAAACGGTTGGATGCGATTTTTAGCTCCTAAATTTTATAAAAAAAATTAGAATTAAATAAAAATTAGTTTGGGAATTCCTAATCTATTCCATGTGCAATATTTCTCCCATTTAATTAGTCAAATTCAATTGGTGACCTTTTGATAATAATAACTTGCAAGTTTTTTCTGGAAAAAATATTTGCTTTGGAAAATAAGTGATAGTTTAAATGTTCTCTTGTACTGAGGTTTCATTGAAAAATATGTTATTTTGTAAAAACATTGTTATGTAATTGTGATTTTCTTTCAGATTTCCTCTTTTTTTACTAATAGACAATTTTGGCTAGGCTACGTTCGTTAATTTGTTAGCGATCGCTTAGCAATAGAGGCACGGGTTTTCCAAATCTCTGAGGGAGATTGGTTTATTCAAGTTAGGAACACCAGTGTCGTCACTTCAAGTTAAGGCAATAATCCACTGATTTTTCAGAACTCTAATATTAAACAGAGATTGGTCTTGTATATTTTTTCTTTATTTCTTAAATGTATTGAATGGGGTTTTATAAGATTTCCATTCATTTTATATCATTTGCATCTTTTGTTATAATCAATCAGTCTTGTTTCAAAAAGTGCATTTATTTTATTTATTGTTTCCTATTACAATATTCACATTTTATTGTCAAATGAAACTCATTCGCCAGAGACTTGCTTGATTAGCAATTACTCGGATTTAAGTTTTAATGATTTTTTTCCGTCAAGAAACGACACCTTATATAATGGAAATAATATGAATAATATTAACATTTATAAGTGGTGTCGTGATACAATTGTGTTATAATTTTAATAGCGAAAGAACAGTAATTTTAATAGCATTTTACGAATGGGCATAATTTTACTCCCATTTTTCTCATTAAGAATAAGATAAATTTGAAAATTTAATTCAGTTATAGGTACATATAGATATAGTATATATATATAGATTTTTTAGACACCCAAATCGATATCAAAAAGTCAAAGAAATCGGCTTTCCGCATCTTATCGTTTTCATGCCCCAATACATTTCTTAAAATCTCTTCAAGTCTCGTCATTAAACTCGTTGCAGTGCTTTCATACCTTAAAAATGCCCAGTAATCCACTTATCACCCTTTAATTCCCATTATATTCCCTAATTTCCATAGTAATGGACACCACTATTTATCCAGCTCTATTATGGTCAAATAGAAGATGTCACAATTTAAATGTTGGAAACCATATAAAATTACCGCATTGAAAATGATTTAGAAATCTATATTTTAGAAAGATTCAATTATAACGTAAATTTAAATATCTTAACAGTGTGGTTTTAAAACAGTGTTTTAGGTATGATAGGGTTAAAGTTGTTATTACAGGGAGCAATAACTGAAAGGATATGAAGAGAAATAAATTGGTTATTATAAAGAATTGGGAGAGAGCATTATTACCCGGATATGAGCATTATTACCCAGATAAAAGAGGGCAGCCAATTTTGATGAAACGGTATAGCGAAACAAGGAAATAAAGGAGAAAAAAGGTTTCGAAACAACCAGTCAAAACAAATTTGGAGAAGTATAATGGGATCATAAGAATTTGAGGTTTCTAAAGCGTTTTAAGATAAAAAGACTCGGTTTTAGGGTTGCGGCTGCTTTTCTTCAGCTATGCAGACATTAACACCGTAAGAAGAAATAAAATAAGAAGTATTTAGATAAGTCCTGGTTCTCTGGCTTATAAAGCATTGGAATAACCAGGAAATAATGAAATTGTAATTTAAGCTTGTAAAATGTCATCATTTTTCAACAGTTTTATTTCTAATTCTGATATTTTTTTTTATTTGCAATATATTTGCAATTTGCATTATATTTGTAATAAATGTAAATGTAAATAATAGTGGTTGCAAGTCGACGACAAAGTAGAGTGCGGCCAACCAAAAATATTAGAAAAAAATTTTAACATGTGCATACAGTTTTTTATTTTTTATAATTTTTCTCAACATTCATGAGGTAAATAAAATGTAAATCCGATGAAATAAATGCTGAGCAGTTATCATTTCTAGTTAGGCTACCTTCATTAACTGTTAGAAGGATGGAGCAACTTGCCAGAGAATTACTTAGGATTAAAAATGCAAACAGGCACATAATTTTTTAATGGGAGATTTATTATTCCTAAGTGGGGTATGATTCGAGATAGGTTGCTCGATGTGATAATCTAAGCAGCAACCACTCAGCCTTGCTGTTGCGATAAACGAACGCTGAATATCCAAAGGCTTAGATTATATTTTTTCCTTACTAGTTAAGACTGAACTAATAGAAAGTTTTGTTGGCTTAGTGATGCAAAATTTATTAAATAGAAAAAAATAAGTATTTAATAAATGGAAAAGCAAATTGGGCCCTCCGTTCTGATTAAACAGTAGTGCATTTGCTTTATATTTATGCTAAACCTTTATGCTATAATGGATGATGCCAAAAAGGAGAAGGAAAACGCAAACTATACTGGTCGGAAGAGGTTTCGAACGATATATGTGACCCAGTTAAATATGGGCTTAGACGCTGGAATGGCTCACTTTTAAGTATGGAGTGGGTTGGAAAAGTCTTACTCTTCTAGCTTGAGAACTAGTTTAATCATAAATGGTGCATGCTGTCAGAAGAATAAAAGAATGCGTGTGCATAGAATAAATTTGGTTGATTATACATTCTAAATATGAAATGAGGGGACAGATGATGGGTCAGATTTAGACATTTTAGTTCATTTCTCTACTCTTTGTCTTGGGATTTAGTACTAGCTGAGATAAGTCGAGGCTTGTGACTAACGAATTCACTGCATTGTTCCTTTGTTTTATCATCTTTCGAGTCCCGGCTTCCTCGGCCATTTTTATTTAATTTAATTTTAGGCCTTTGAATGAATAAATTTTCAAGGTTCAACGCTGGCAATTCAATAACAATTAAAGCGTAAAAGCCAGCTGCATAAGTTAATAGAATCTGTAGGAAAGTAAACCGAAATAATGTCTGTATAATTCCATCATAAACTATCGGAAATTGCGTCGTTACAAAAAATGTAATTATACCAAACATATGCAGCAAATAAGCCTGTAAATATATTTTTTTAGAACTTAAAGCGATTTGAAATAAATTTTTCAATTTTGAAAAATTTGAGAGTCCTTGGAGAGCGTTTATTAATCCATTTCTAAATGTCGAATCTACTTCCATCTTCTATTCCATGCTCCGGCGGATCTGTCATTAAAAAGTCCAGTTGTGCTACTGGCAACTCACCTATACTGCTGTCGCCAAATGATAGGAAAAATTTGTGACCGTACTAATAACACATTTAATTTAACCAGATAAAGTGGATGCTAACCACTTAATTACTTCCATCAAGATATAAAAACCCATTGTGCTTGACCCTTTCTCCAATATAGGGTTAAATTATATTATAGGGTTAAATTCAACAAAAACTCATTCCCCTTGCCCGCGTGATAAATTTCCCGTTTCTTCTCATTTTTCATATAAAAGGTGCTTAAAAAATAAATTAAGAATCTATTTTTCGAAAATACTATTTATCGAAAAAATTTTGTGTTTATATAAAAATCTGTCCAAAAAAGTTGTTTTTAAAGATTTTTAAATTTTTAAAATTTAAGAAAGAACTATCGAAATCAAAAATTCTCAAAAAAATTGCAAAATATAATTTTTATTCAATTTATCGAGAAAATTTGCAAAACTTACACTGTAGGAAATAGATGATAAAGGTTGAAAAATAATTAAGCTAAGGAAATGATTTATGAAACCGCCGAACCCCATATGACAAGCATAGACGAGCCAAGCAATTGATAGGCTCCAAATACTACGATGAAACGCACCATAAAATAAATAATAATTTGGCCAGTCCCATTCCTGAAATTAGGCAGAATCAATTTTTATAAATATACAATAATTCTAGTAAAAACATATAAATAGCCATAATTTATGTCCATCACAATATAATGCTGGGCATATCTGGTCTGATCGGTTTTACTAGCTTGAGATCTTTTCACTAGAAATTAATTAATTACAGATGAGTCTCCAGCAATGCCCAAACAAATTCACCATAGTATGCTTCAAGATTAGAATAGGACAATAAAATACCATTTAGACCGATCTAATCAAAAAATATTTATTCTTTACTTGACTATAAATAATAAAAATTACATGAAACGCCGGATAAATACCGAAAAGTGAGGTAAATGCGCAAATAATTGCTAAAATCCAAGCTGCCGTTATAGTAGCCTTGGATAATCGTCTTTTTTCTTCTGCAGGATGCGTCGATAAGGTGTATCCGAGAATCAATCCAATAATATAAGGAGATATTCGATATTGTGGTTTGATATATACAAGACGATGTTGCTAAAAATGCAGATAGTCAGCTTAAACGGATGAAAATTAGTTCCTAATTTTTTTCAAGTCATACCCTTTAGCTTAGCCACCGATTTGATGCAACAATTTTTTTTTAAGAGTCCTCACCATTACTTCTTAAACTCGCTCAGCTGGCACTGGACAAATATGCCAGGGAGTTCCTTGGCGACAGAAATACAGGTGAGTCACCTGGATGCAACAACTTACCAGCATGTAATTCTGATTGAACATTTTTGGATTATTCCATAGCATCTGCGTTGGTGGAAAATTGTATTGAAGCATTTGTAAAACGTTTAAAATGCTTGAGATCAAAATTGTTAATAAGGAAACCACTATTCCGATTGAAAAAGATTGATGGAAGCACAAAAAATAGATCGGCGTGACAAGATAAAATATGAAATCAGTACCAATATACCTAAATATCTTAAGGTTTTCAAATCTGTAGCAAAAATAATGCGGAAATCTTTAAAAATTTTATGAAAATATTTGAAAATCTTTTTCTTCCAAATTAAGGAATAGCGAAAAATTAAAAAATTTTTAGAAAAATTACATAATTATATTACAAAGATTATTTTTAGCTTAACCATTTAAATTGTCATAACAGTCATAGAAGTATAGCAACATTACACTACGCACCATATCTGGCTTGGACGACGCCAGTGACTATTAGGATGAGATTTATTCGCTAGAGAATTATTTGGGAACATGTTGCACAGTCTGCGGCAAATCCCTAGGATCATTTTTAATGATTTTCTTCATTTCCTTCATTGGACCCACCTTCTCCTGTTAAAAATGAGTTATTTAAAATGGAATTCGGGTAGCAGTGGAATGTGGAATTCATTTGCAACTTTATCAGCAAGTGGTTCTATCGTCCTCATCCTAATTAGTAATTAGTAATGCGTGCTCTTAGAAAAAGAACGTATCAATTTTAGGATCGTTTAATAAAATTATTTCAGAAATTATTTAGACCAACATATTTACCAAGTCCATGGCATACAAATATTATCCGTTAAACTATTTATAAAAAGGATATTTTTCCACCATTGACCACTGCATTGAAACGACTGATCATTGGGGAACCAAATGGGTTGAAAATTTGAAAACGCTAAGCGATTTGACATCAAAGAAATGCTATAAAAATATAACGGAAGTATTCGAATGGCTCGATGCCTATAAAACGACAACCAGTAACCGAATGAAGACCATTTTGGTGCGCAACCTGTGATTAAAAAATATAATCCAATAGTTACAAAATCACTTTGAAAAGTTTGAAATAAAGAATGTCTTATGAAATTTCACTATAGAAATTTGAATTCCTGAAAAATGTACCTGCTTTTTGGACACTCCCGAACCAATGAAATGATACTAGAGTGCCACCGATTAAAAAAAATACATCAACGCTTAATGTGCTGTTTGTTATAAATTGAGAAAAAAAACTATTGGCGAGATCTTTTCGATAAGCATCCGCATCGTTTAAATAATCCTAAATATAGATATTACTTGGCTAAATAACAATTCTGTTGGGTTCTAGGTACCATATAAAAACCACATTATTTACACCAGCGCATTCCCTTCTTCTATTTATCTCTTAAAGTTTGGCTAATTCCACTAGCTATCAGATCTTAAGGTCTTTTCGCTACATTTGTGGAAAAAAAACATAGATAGGTTATTTTGGTACTGGATTTTCCATAAAGGACTAATAGTGGAATTAAACTCGAATTTAGTGCCTAGTATTAGCATTTGATACCAATGACTGAACTGATCTAAAATTATTAAATTTTTATTGGCTCTAACCTGAATAAAAATAGATGAATGACCAAGAATAACCCATAAAGTGGCCAGAAAACGTAAGCCGAATAAACATGTTAGCATTGTTCGTGGATTGCTTTTATTTTTTGCCATTAAAAATTGATTTAAATTTTTTTTTGCCGAAAAACATAGGAAAACTTTTTCACTAACCGATCTGAATTAAAATTTAATCTGATTTACAATTCCGATTGTAATTAAAATTAATAAGGAAAATAAAAAAATTATTGTTAAATTTAAATGAATTTATAAAAAATTATTGGGAAAATTTTCAAAATCTACTGTATTCGTCATCAATTTAAAGATAAAATTAATTTATTTCATCACATTTAATTTTACTGAATTTTGAAAATATAAATGATAAAAAATTTTCGACAATTTAGTGAAATATTTAATAAATTTAAATTTATGAAGAATGGCGATAAGTGATAAAAAAAGTTTGGAAAAAAGTGTTTTTGGAACAAAAAAATAATTATTGTAGAAATAATGCAAAGAAATGTAAAGACGTTAACTGATTTAACTGATAACCTAGTAAAATCTCCTCGTTGAAATTCGTAAATAGTTGCGCACAAAACAATTGCCAAAATTATTTTATTGATAATAAAATCAATCAGAGGATAAAATTTCTTGTACCATTCTACATCAAATCTCGATTTTGTGCATTGTATATTATTTTGGTTAATCATTGTTTTATTACCAAAATTGAACGATGCTCGAGCGTATTCATTAATTAACTAAAATATTCAAAGTCAAAATAAAATAATCTTAAAGTAAATTTCCATAATTGATACCAAATTTTACAAAATATATAAATTATTGACCTAAAATATTTCCATCAGTGGATGGGTATAAAATAAATGAATTTTTGAAAAAAGTACTCGAACATATCATTAAATATATCATTTATATTACATGCTTGTGTTAAATTGCACTGAAATAGTGTTACGATCATAATTTGAATCTGAATTTACGATTTACAGACCGAAATTATTAAAACGCATTTTTAGAATTAAGGAAAGTATGGTCGAGTGAATTGCCTCAATTTCGCTGACAGCTACGATGAACAACGTTTGCTACACGTCAGACTTATCCCTGATTTTTCAATTTTTCAAATAATTTTTCAAAGCCATAAAATAAGCATAAAATAAATTTTAATTTCTTGCGAGAATTTTATACACAAATTGTTATATCAAATATATTTTACATAAATAAGCACTTGAAAAATTTATTTATATTTCCAAAAAAATAACCACAAATTCGATTAAAATGTTCCTTAATTATATTGTAATTTATAGTGTTTCGTTGCAAAAAAACTGGCTTAGCCTCTGTCAGTGGTAGACTTGCTGAATTAAGAGAGTGGATCTAGTAGTTGTTCTCCGAATTCGCTAATAGTTATGACGAATCAACAATAGATTTTAGGACAACCATCGCAAACTGCAGTGATATTTGAACCTCGTATAACGATAAATAAGTCACTTTTCGCATATACCATTATATATCGTTATACTCCCATATACCGCTTTATATGCTGTTAAAATTCAGTTCTCTGTGAATTCATCAATGAATAAGCAGCCCAGCGATACATGGACTAAGATATGGACGTTACTCTCAAATATGGCAACCTAATATGCCAGTCTAACCAGTTGTTTAGCCAAATGTCTGCGTAGAGGTGAAACTGAAAACCGCGAAAAAGACCAAGAAATTATATCTTACCGTAATTTGATCACTAATGCACGGTGCTGGAAGGCAAGCGCCAACAGTTATCTGATCACCATTTTCGTCGAAGTGTCCATTACAGTACATTAACGGATGCTCGGATCTCGAATATGCTGTTTCATCCGCAGTACTTATACATTTAAGAAATTTATAGTGCTGAATTATTATATGATTAGATATAAAATAGACAATTGAATTTTTCACTTGGATGCATAAGAAATAAGTTGCAGTAAAGTTATCTCTCGCTGAATTGCAGCAATTTATTATTTGCATTTTTTCCTAACAGTGCTTTACCACTACTGAGTAGATTCGCTGCGCTAGTCGGTTAGTCAAACAAACCACGCCATGGAACTACTTGGTGATAGAAATATAGGTAGATTGCCAGCATCGCCCGGGTTTTTGAAAGATCTGTTTACTCTTGTTGCAGAATTTGGGATTAGAACCCTATCGGCACTCTGAAATGAAAGCAACAATCCACTGAGCCACTCCACTATTCGATTTTATTATTTATTGTATAAATATTTGATTCATAATTTAAGTGACTTTTACTTGTTACAGCATATATCCCTTTAATCAAAATTTTGAAATCATAATTATTTTATTGGCTTTTCTTTTTTTTCTGAGGCCATTCCACGATTTTTTTCACTCCTAAAAAGCAAGCCATATCGCTAATCTAATGTGTCCATAAAATAATTTAGCCTGATCAATTTTTGTGATGGAATCTATACTTCTGCTGAAAACTGCTCTCTCTTATTATTATATTTATTACTATTATTATTACCAATTAATGAAATGAACTTTAATAAGGACTGGAGTAAATTAAAAACCAAATATTACGGAAGAATGTGAGGGAAATGTTGAAGTGAAGCTTCCATCCTTTGGCCTTTTCCGCACTTAATTTGACTTTAAGTTGACCATTGCTTTCCTCTAAGTCTAAGCCCAAACCACTTTCCCATTTCTTAATAACGCATTTTAAATTGTTTTGAAAATATCACTTTCGAAATTACTTCTCTTATCCAGCAAAATAGCGCATCAAAATAGTATCGAATGCTGTTAAATTCCGTTTAAATATTATTAAATGATATCATCAAATCGAGTTGAAAGTAATCACTTTGAAGAAATTGGAGAAGTTAACAATCGGTAATATTCGCCAGTTACCACCGATTTAGGCTATTATCAATTTATAGACAGCCAAAAGAACTTATCAAGTTTGTGGCGTGGCTACCAAGATCGGGAAAGGCATTTTGTAGGAAAATAGCGAATGTAAACGATTTGGCTCCGAAGAAAAGGCTGATATGTCAACATGTAGTTTTGAATTATGCAAATAAACCCCAATTACGCCAATAACTAAAAAAGCTTGGTTGTAGAACAACAAGCCTTCTTATAACAGAACTTTCATAAAATGCCATCCATTGACACTGGTGGTTTATCATTTGAAGTAACATCTATAATGAATAAGCCATACATTATAATACCTCAGTTACACCTCAGAGTGGCAAAAGCAGCTGTGAGAAAATTGATTCTATTCGACATAAAGAATTTGCAAAAATACTGCGTTAGAAGTAATGTGGTGGATTTTTTAAATTCATGCCCGTCATGCCTGTGCACATCTGCAAGCCAACAACATCAGTCGATTTGATTACCAGCAGAATGAAGAACATTTACCAAAATAATAATAAAGTTGCAATCGCAAAATTATTTTCCATTAGTTTCTGCTTCACCGTAGTGATGCACAAATCTCAAGGAAGTATAATCGATAGAATCGCTTACGAGTACCAAACACATAGATTTATTGTATTGTGTGACATTGTCATAAGTGACAAACAACGAAGGACTCTAAATCGTGATATTTGATGATTCAGTATTATAATGATCAAGTAATATCAGTCGGTTTGCAAATGAATTGCCCAGGCTTTCTCTAAATCGTTTGGTAACTGTAGATGACATATTGAAGATTTCATAAGTAACAGAAGGTTTATTAACTTTTACTCTGAATTGTCGAAATCTTTGCGCTCACTGTGATCTCACGGATATATTGGTACAGCAATCAAATACCTTGCTTTTCGCTGAACCAAACAATGAGGAAGGTATGTGCATGTATATATTTAACTTTGTGCCGTCCTTTTTAAACGGGGTTGCAGCTGGAGGAGTGGTAGCATATCACAATATTAAAGACAAAACAAACTCCCCATATGAATAAAAAATTGCAAGAAATAGATCCATTTCAATTTAAGAGTGACGAGTGATTCTGAAGCAGCGAAAATGAAATAGGATCCACTCTCGGTGCAGTTTTGAATTTTCAATGTGTAACTCAATAGAATTTTCATTCTTCAGTTTTCTCATTTAATTACCGTACGCTGATTATTTAATTTATATTTAGAATACTAATATTTAAAAATAAAAAGATGGAATTAGAATGAAAATATTACAATATTTAGGTAAATCACTTAAATCAGTGATCGCTGTTTGATCACCTTTCGGTGTCATTTTACAGCATTTAACATCATTTAAATTAATCCAATAAAATTCCTAATATTTTTGTTTTTTTATGGAATTTTTATGAAATGCTTCATCTTAATTTGCCTCAGAATTGAGAGAAATTTCTCTTCTACCAGGCCAATTCGACGCATATTTTTTTATTTGTTCAATTTTATTACTATTATGATTATGATTATTGTTAATATTGACTAACACTAATACTATCAATAAAACGTTTTGATAATCGCAAGAAATATACTATTTGTAGTTAAAATTAACAAAAAAGAATGGAAAAAAAAGAAGTAAAAATGAATCAAAAGACTTCGATTGTACGCAGTGGCTGAGGGATATTGCTTTCGAGCCAAGCAACTGCTAGATTACTGGCCTTTAATGAAAGTGAATTAACTAGCAATCATCTAAGTGAAACCCGCAGACACTGAAAATATTTTACGAAAAGAATCTGTCTTATTCTCAGCGGTATTTTAGTGGTCAGTTAAAATGGTGGATATCATGGAAAGGTTAATTTCATACCCAAGCACTTCGATCTCGATTCAGAAAGTATGTCGTATCGCCAGATGCGAATGATTCGAAAAAATATTGCCGCTGCACGTCTAGAAGTTCCCGTGAATTAAGGAAATCATCAATCTAAACATTAATGCGTGGTTATTTTATTTTTTTCTGTAGCAATCTGGCAATTTCCTCAAAACAAATTTAAACGAACATCTGGAAATCAAGAATTCTGCGTCTCAAATATCGTCGGATCGATCACAATTTGTGGTCCGAAGAAAAAGCTAAGAAAGGTAAGATAAACAAAAAAAATCGGCCAATTAAAACCGATCCTTAATCCGAAATAAGAAATGGAATTCGGGAGAAGATCGCTTCATTTCATCCACAAATTTCAGAGCAAAATTTTTGAAATAAAAGTAAATTTATGCGGTAACCAACCTTTCTAAGGCTATCTTCACACGAATCACTTAAATTGTTTGTACTTTCTATTTTCTTGAAAAAATTGAGCACTGATGTCGATGAATACGATACGAGATGATCGTTGGCAAATAATATTTTAAATAAATGGAATGATAAGAAAAAAGTAATTAGAAAATCCGAATTCCACATTCCACAATCACAAATCTATTAGTGGTGCAAACAGTTACGATAGAACTAATGTTGAATTCGGCATAAATCTGCAAATTTTAAATGAATTTGGATCTGAAATTTGAAAAATTAGTGTTCTTATGAGTCCAATGAATTTTTTATAGAGAATATAACCACAACCGTTTAAACCGCAATTATTACTACAGTATTCGTCACTTTTAGCATGCTTCACTGGCTATTAGCCCAAAATCCTTCACTTGTGCATAGAAATACTGGTGGATCATCAGCTTCACTCGGATTCACTTTTAATGAGAGGCTTGCCCTCATCAAGAATTTTCCCATCATTGAGAAGCTAATATATGCTAGATGCACCTTAGTCGAAGCAAAATACTATTCGATAACCCTGTCCAAATCTCTTCTATCTTTACATCTTTGACTATTTAACCCACGAAGTCCATTAATTCACAATGTGTCAAAATTATTCTCTATGAAATGCCAACTAAGCAAAAAAAAAAAGAATTGTGAGATATTCCTACTTAGCAGTCCCTACATAACATTTTTTGAGCCTTTTCGCAATATATCGCAAAGAACAAAATTTTGCGCCACCCAACTGATCAACGAGTTAATTTCAATCTTTTTTTCGACTACTCATTCTGTTTTAGAGCAAAATCGTGATTGATTTTAAAAAACCCTAGGTTCCACTCAAATAAACTTGAGGCAAAAAAAGTGTTAAGACAGGTTGTCGTCGCCCTAAGCGGGTAAAACTTGTTATTAGCATCGGTTGGCAGTTTTGAGAATTCATATGAATAAAAATACTAAATAGAAAATTTTTTTGCGAAAAGAAAAAGTTTTACGATTTAAACAATATTCAACGTAATTTGACCAAAATAAATCGTTAAATGCACTCTTATATTTAATAGGATTTTCTAATCGGAGAGAAGAATGGCTGAGTGGGTTGTTGCTCTTAAGGTTCTACTCCCAGCAGGAGAAAACCTGTACGGAAATCGGGGTGACACTGACGACTCACCTGTGTTTCTATCGTCAAGGGACTCCCTAGCATATTTGTCCAATGCGACAAGCCAGTGGAGCGAGTCTAACCGGCAATGAGTTTTAGATAAAAAAAATATATATGCCTCGCCATCTATTATAGAAAATCATGATATGGATATTACGTCAAAGCAATCATTGCCAAATCATTGCTGAGTGGCTTCGACAAAGACAAAGTTCAAAATTTCACAAGTTCGTCACTTAATGGAATAAAATCTCTAATGCTTTCTTCTTGAAGGGTCACCATTACTAGCTAAGTCCGTTTCGCTGTTTCGCTACAAATATTCCAAATAGTGCGTTGAACAAATATTCCAAATAGTCGATGGTGGTAGATGCGAACCGTCAGCACCACCCGAATTTTTCCAACAAGTTCATTCCAACGAGGAACAGCTGGCATTAAAAAACGAGTTCCGCTTCAATGGCCATTTAATTCTATCTTCAAAGAGACTCTGATAAATGGGGCCAACGACAGCCGCTAGTGGAGCCGAAAATACTGATTATATTTAAAGAAAGAATTAGAAGATGGTTCTCCAATTGTTTAGGTTTCTTCTCCATTAGCTCATTAAGCTAGGAAATAATGAATGGTACTAAAAAAACAGGCGCAATTGCTGAAACTCAAGCGCCGCAAGCATGCGGCCAATTGTTTATTCGATGAAAGTCAAAAAAACCAATGAATAAAAAACTAAATAAGAAAATGACTAAGTTGAATGAGAATTGTCAATTGTCACGTTGCTCACAAGAAAATTCACAAATAACAAAATCAATGTTTGTGGCTTAACAATTGGCCAATGTCAAGTGAACTGATAAAAGCTCTGAGTGATTTCGAAATCATCTCAAATGTATTTTCTATCTGTTTCGAAACTTTTAAAATTTTTTTCGATTAAAATTTAAATTCTTTTTGAATTCAGAAATGAAATAAAATATAATCTGCATTTTCATAACGTTACATAACGCATTAGAAGCATTATTTCATGAACTCTCTATAGAATCAACTTTCTCTATCAGTGTGCACCACTAGTTTGGCTGCTTTCACGGCCTAGTGAA